TCGAAGATTCGAGTGGACGGGCGTCGTCAGAGGCGAAACAGAGGAGAGCAGCGCCAGCGCCAGGGCCTTAGGACAGCCTGTTGAGGCGAGACAGAGAGCGCATGATTTGCTGCCGGCCACCTAATTGGACCCCGTTGCGACGCTACAGCGATGCGACGACGATGTGGTCTCGTGTCGTGGTTGCCACATCGTGTTTTGGCTTTGGCTTAGACTTCGGCTCCGGTCTCTGGCAACTCTTTGGGGCCCCAGCACCAGGCGGTGCGAACGAGATGGCGACTGAAGCAACACGTGTTCTTATCAGTTGAGTGGAGAAGTCGGCCCGAGTCGAGACGAGTCGAGTCAATCCCATTTGAGTGGAGTGCGAGTGCGAGTCGACTGGGGGAATTGAGTGAAAGCAGTCTCTGATGATTATTTGATTTTAGTTTAATTCTATTATATGCAGGTCCACGGTTGCTCGTGCCACTGTGTGTTGTTGCAGCTTGTGGTCCCTCTCCGTTGGCTGGACTCGCTTGCTCCTCTAATTGGTCAGTGGCCAGCGTTTTATGTACAACAAATGCAGCTCGTGCTTGCCCCTATCTTGTCTGCCACTCAAATGCTGGACACTCGAGGGTCTCTTCCATAAACAATGGATAGCAAGGGAACAGCGACTGCTCAGATGGGAAGGTTGAACTAATTTTAGGGTGTACTACTTCTGACAGATGTGAAATTAGTAGAAATTATTGATGAAATTATTTTGGGCTTGCATTTTGCAGTTATTTTTTGTAATAAATGAGAGAATTTTATTTAGTTTTCAAAGCGTTTCCTGGGTATGGTATGGCGTCCAACTGGAGCAAGCCCATACCCACAATTTCCATCTCTCTCTCTCGTTCTACTACTACTACTACCTTTGCCTCAATTCCAATCTCGATTTGCCAGAAATTGCAACCTCTTACTGGCTATCCCGATACCCCTTCACCCACCCCACCCCACTCTCTCCCAGCAAGCACAAAAGCCATTACGCACCGCTGTGAGATTGTAATCTAAGCTCTCGTTATTGGAGCAGGCAGGGATTTAATTAGACAAATGTCCCCCAATTTGTAATGTCATTTTTCTCAGCAGTTGCGGAAAATCCGAATGTAAAACTTTTTGGTGTTGAAAATGCAAAAGGTGAACCGAAGGAGCCACACAGTGAGTGATGCGATGCGATGGGGTGGGGTGGGGTAAGCAGAGGGAGATGCTGCTGCTGCGATGCCCCCAAGTAAGAAGAAAATATGTCTAATTTTGCACCATGTGGACACTGGTCATTATTTTGGCCAGAGATGCTGATGCAAGGTGGACAGGGGGCGGGGATGAACGTTTGCAGGTACAAGAGATGTTTGCCAAACCCGACTATCTCTCTGTCTTTCGCACACTCTATCGCTGTGTGTCTCTCTCTCTCTCTCTCTCTCTCTCTGGTAATGTGTGTGTGAGCCAGCATGCGGTCTCTCGGCGTCCAAGCGACGACAAAAAATGAGATTTGCTGACCGGTGGTCATTAAAGCACATTTACAATGAGCAAAGCCATGTTGGCTTGTGGCTAACATGGTCCCTCGCCTACCCCTGAGAATTCCCCCCCATCCAGCAGCAGGTCCATGGTACATGCAAAATGACCAGAGACAAGCGATCAAATCGATGCCGAAATTAATTTATCTTGGCAACGGCTACCAAAATTTGACAAATTGCAAATGTATTTCAAATTGACTGCACGCTGTTATATCAATGGGAGGAGATATAACCCCCACCACTCGGTTGAGGGGGTACACTTGTAAATTGGGCAAGCCAATCGATAGATAGATAGAGATAGTTTATTAAATCCCCACATGAATTTCGAAATAATTTAACTGGATTGCTGGCACTTTAAAGCAGCGGTGGGGAGACATTTTTAATTTTGAAGCAGTGCAACGACAATAACAACAATCAAAAACCGTTATCAGCTAAACTGGAGTCGAGTATCCTACTCGGGCATGGCTTCTGCAATGCGAACAGTTGGGAGCAAGGAAGCTCCTGCATTTTGTGCTTAATTTGATAAATCCAATCTGAAGGAACTATTTCAATATTGAATGTATTTTATGCCATCTTTAAAACAAAAACCATTCCCTTTTTAAGTTCTGATCTCTACGCAGGGTGCTCCCGATCGGAGGGAGACCCAGTCAATTAATCTTATCATGTTGTGTGAACTCTGTAAGATTTCCAAAGCAATTGTCTAGGCGGAGGCCTGAGCAAACCCAACCCTATGGCACCCTGCCCCATCCGCCGCTCCAGCCAGTTGATTGCACTAATTGGCAATGAGCGTGACGAACGCCAGCGATGGACCGCGACATGGACTTGTGGTCGGGTGGGGGAGCGACAAGATTTTCATTCATGAAACACTCGCCGAATGGACCGGAAGTTCTTATTGGATTGCAAATTGGGATACACTTGGGGGAAGCAGTACCATGCCGATCTTATGGCAATGATGGAAACTTATTGATTTTAGAGTTCATTTCCATTATGTACAACATAACTCGTAATGGTGGGATTTGTTTTATTTCCTATATTTTTATGCTGTTTCCCCCGCTTTCCATTCCGTTACTGATTCTTTGGCTTTGGCCAAAGGGAGAGCTTCTTCCTCCTCCAAAGATCATCGTTTTTGTTGAGAGGGTATCTCATGTTCGACTTCCTTTGGCTGCTTCTATAAACAGCCATTGCTCGAGTTCAAAAGTGTTAATTAAAGCAAAAAGCCTTAATTATAGTTATTTGTTTGTTTTCCTCGTCACAGGGGAAGTATTTCCGCTTGGAGCACAGCTGCCTGCGATTCCACTACAGCTAGTTCTGGTGATGTTTCTGTTACGGATCCCGTTTCAGGTACGGCACGGTTCGGATCGGATCCGATCTGCTTCCCCTGGCCACCAGATCAGAGTTCAAATGCAGGCAAAAATATGTAAATGCAGGGCGCTTGCGTGGAGCGATAAAAACGAATGGAAAAGGGAACCCACCGCTAACCGATTTCAACTTCAATTTCGAGCTCAGTCATAAACTTGCCAGCCGATTGGGAGGGTTCTTTCTGGCTCTGGCTCTGGCTCTGACTTTGCTGCTGGTGATGGGTGCTGGTCCTGGTACTGGGAGCAAGGCAGCGGGTCACGAGCTTGTCGGCCCAAGCTAAATGCTTGTTAAAGGGCGTGCTCAAAATTGTAGTTGGAGTTTCTGTTGTGTGGTTGGTTCGTGGCAACCACAGAAACAAATCAGCCAGCGGAGAGGCATCCCAGCAATTGGCAAATTCGATTTGCAATTTTTACAAATGCTGCTGGAGCTGAAGCTGTTGCTGAAGCTGTTGCTGAAGCCGAGAGATGGAGCCTGAGATGTGGCTGCTGGGTTGAGTAAACAATTTAGAATGAAATGCAATCGGGAGTCAGAAAGTTGATTTGCAATTTCATGGCAGCAGCAATTTGCACCTCATCATCATCATTATCCTGCTCGCAGTCGCTTCTCGCGGGTGATGATCTTTCAATCGTTCAATCAGGCAGGCCCTGGCCACGGCTACGGCCACAGCAGGTCAGGCCCGGAGCTGAGCGGAGCCAGGCACGTGCAGGTTGCAGGTTACAGCCTCCAACCCCCGGCTACAGCTAAGGATGTCCCAAATATTTCTCCCCCTCTTAATCTTCCGACAGAAACAAACTATTCGTATCATTTTGGGAATTTCGCTATCATGGATGTAGCTATGATGCAGCTGTGGCCGCCAGGCAACCAGGAAGTGGCCGGTGGATCCCCAGCTCATCCAGCAACAAGTTGCCCAAGCAATGAGAAAAATTTCGCTAGATAAATAATGCATATCTCACGCACTCGCTCCCCGGAGCAGAGCCAGACACAGACACTGGCCCAGGCCCAGGCCCAGACCATGCCACAGCTACAGCTACAGTTGCTGCCCCAGCCGTTTAATGAAGGCCTAGATCCGATCCCGAGCCATAATAAGCAATGGGCAACAATGAAATCTTTTGCCTCGGCGCAGGCCAATTTATGCGATGGCTTTGGCTTGGCGGTTGGGACTCTATCCTGCCTCCATCCCCTTCCCAGACTCGCTGCCTGCGTGTCGAGTCAAGTTTCGATTTGCCGCGATGGTTGGCTTTAATTTAAGCCCTGGGCCCGGGCCTAAGCCCCAGAAGATCAGCAAAGATTCATTAAGTTTTGATTTTGGTGCTTTTCTATTTACTTTTTCCCAAGATCAAGCGAGATTTACACCAAATTGCCAGTGCCTCTGGCTGGGGCCTAGTAATGGTGCACTCCACCGCCGCCTCCGAGTCCTACTTTTGCTGCATCTCCTCATGGCTGTTCTGTGGATTACCGTTTCTGATGCCGCTCTGATAGACACTGCAAAATTGGTTCATTAAATTCAACTGTTTGTTTGTTGGAGGCCCAGTGGCCCCTGCCACTCCTCCAGCTTCAGATCCAGCCCATGCATGCATCCAGCCCCTCCCCCTACTCTGACCCAACTTCAGCTGCAGTTGCAGTGGCAGCTCTCACCCACATCCCGAATTCAGGGGAAACTGGTTTGCTCAACAGTAGCACGACTGTGACAGCGACAGCCCTTCATCATCGTCGGAGGGCGATGGGCAGTGCCTAATTAGCAGTTCATCCCGCACAAATTACAGACACACACGGAATGTGGGACCAATAATTCGATAATGGGCATGTCCACAGCTGTAAATTACAAAATAATATGCCTGCCACAAGCCCACTCATCATATCACATCATCCACCAGCAGAGACCGCATAGCAGCACGGGGAATTTGGTATGGCTATGCAGCCAGCTGGAATATATCTGTTTTGTGGCTATTTAAAGACTATTTATTGCTTGAAATCATAAGCCACCACACCACCCAGAAACTCTTCTTTTTAGGCAATCATTAAACATTTCATCAAATGGGCAAAATAACAATTGGAGAGCATGGCTAACCCGCTCTTTTTTGTTGCTCGCTATATTTGGGCTTTTAATGGAGAATTACTTACATTAACATAGCACCAAATGGTTCACAATTTGTTGTTAAAGCTCATATTTTACTATTATTTTGGCTAATTTTTATTTGTCAGCTGCAATTTGTTGTTATTTATATTTGCACTAAAATCAAAACAATAATATATCGATATTTTCAGGTATATTTTAAGACGCGTTATGCACTTTGTTGCAGCTCGTCTGAAAATACCAGCAAATACTGAAAATCCGAAATATACTAAAAACAGCTGTTGGACATATTCTTGTATGCGCGGTTTATTTGAAAGTGTGCTTATATTTGATTTTGAATAATAAATGTGAAAGTAATAAATATAACAACAGCTTGATAAATTATATAAGTTACTGGGCACAACTCAAAAACAGCCGCTCAATGATCAAACGAAGACGGGCCTCCCTACATAGACTGAACCAGCATGAAGAGCTCCTCCTTCAAGTAGTTGACGTCCCCGGTATTCCCATCGGACGAGGATGCTTCGGTGCAGAACAGCAGCAGAGAATTAGGAATGAGTCTGAAGAAACACAGGGATATTATAGATATTTCACCATGGAAGTGCCAAGACCAAAAATTCACTCACTTGCAGTCGAATAAGGTCTTATCCATGTCTTCTTCACCGAACTTGCCCTCGCTGGTGGCCACCAGATTAAATTCGAGTGTCTCGTCCGCCAGGCAAGCTTGTACAAATTCAAATATATCGGATATTTTCTCGTACACATTGAAAGTGCCCTGGAAATGATTAATGGGATTACATTAGGCTTTCACTCGATTTCATCATCTGCTTAGTGACTCACTTGTATGAAGAGGCCATTGGGAAATTTTACCCTAACCAAGGCGTAGCGGTACATGCGCATAGTGCGCTGCTCCTCGCGTTCCCGCATGGCCTTTGTCCTCAACATCTGGGCCTGTTGTATGGCATCGGAGCGCAGCTGCTGCTCCTTCTTGATCTCCTCTGGGGCGAGGCGATAGAAATCATTGGGTAGAACAACGCGCCGTGCCTGTGAGGGCAACAGCACTTTCAAATTGCGATCCAGTTCCAGGGGAATACACTCAGAATTCTTCAGAGCGTCAACTAGGGTGGGCAAGTCGAGATCTTGTTCAGTCTGTTCCCTGGTCCAGAGGAGGAATGGCTCGCCGTCGATTTGGACCTCGCTAAAGCCAGCAGCATACAAAACATCCAATGCACCCTCCACGTAACGCACTTTCTCGCTGAAGATCTTGTTCGACATGCGTATTTTCAAGAACTTTTCATCGGTCGGGTTCGTGATTAGATTCTCCAGATACCGAACAAGTGTGGCTATGCATTCGTCGGCCTTCTCCTTCACATTGCAATTGTGGATGATCAGGCAGGCGGTGAGACCGCGATCGCCCTCCTCCAACTGCTGGTACAGGAACTCCTTGATCTTCACCTTCCAATCCCTTTTCGGTAGAATCTCATCGCTGACCAACGGGCAGCGGAAGAAGACACCTTCGCAGGCCAGGTTCCTGTTGTCCCCGCCGGATGAGGTGCTGGTTGTTGATGCAGACACCTCTGCAGTGGCAGACGCCTCTTCCTTCTGGCGACGCTCAGCCTCGAGCTCTCGCTTGGCCTGAGCCTTCACTGCCGACAGCGAGGTGTTGAACTCCCGCGAAGTCTTCTTGTCGATGCGTGAGAGCGCGGCTGCCGCTGCGGCGCGTGCTTCATTGCTCAGCTCGTTGCGCTTGGGAGGGACATAAGCTTCGTACTTACGACCCCGAGATTTGCTGCTCGAAGGTGCCTCAGGCTTGGGGGTGTTCAATTTGTGGCCCTCGCCCATCGAGCTGCCCATTAGTTTAACCTGGAGAGCAAATTACTGTTCTGTTAGGAGGGTTCTTAAATGGAGTGAATGAACCTACTTTGAACGCCGCTGCCTCCTCCTTCTTCCTCGAAAAGAACTTCTTGATCTTCGACATGTCTATATTCGGGGAGAGTGTTCCTTGGGCAACTTCAATTTGGCCACAGATAATTTAAGCTCTTCGATTTCCTTGAGCGTACCTTAAGCATAACCAAGTAGATTATCTATTAGAGCGACATGCTCGAATTTTGAGTTGCTTTGTCCCTTACTTGGCCTGACGAATTTCTCGGTGATGACTTGACCGTAGACGGACCAGGACCAGGCGATCAGGACACACGTTCCCGCCAACAGCACCAGCAATACCTTTAGCAACGTGGCCTGCAGATCGGTAAACTCGATGAGGCTATTCTGCCAGTGCCAGTCTTCGGTCAGATTCTCCAGCTCCCCGCGAACGTTGACGGCTGCTTTCAGAGCAACTCCAGCGAATACCTCCACTTGGGTTGCGATGGTCTGCAGAGTCGTGTTCAGGGCTTGTATATATAAGTTGATACTCATTGGCTAGCCGAACCTTTTATGCAGCTATCTATCTCAATTACTTTTTGCGGCCTTTGTTTGTTTTTTCTTGCTTTTTTTTTCTTTAATTAGAGGTGTCAAACCATCGAGGGCGCTATCGATAGTAACTTAAAAAATATGGATACAAAACCAAACTATGAATTATTTTATATTATTTTGAGACTGATATGTTGAGAGTATGAATAAACATGAATAATATTAAATATCTGGTCTATATAAGTGAATTTTTCATATAGTTTGGCATTTATATATCACTTCAGTGCTCGAATCTATACGATATGTAATCGATAGGTATCCGGCTATTAATACCATCTCTAAAAAAGTGCTGCCCATAAAAGTAATTTATTTGAATTTTCTAGTGTTGTAAAATGACCAATCACATATCTTGCCGCCAAAGTTGAATTTGAATGTCGCTGGGTGAGGGAGTAAGTAGAGTCTAATATAGCGCCTTGAGGGTTGACCTCCTTCACTGTGTCCTTGCTGGGCCCTCGCTTCCGCTCATAAATCTGCGCCTTTGCCGTTGACCTTATTGAATTCCGCTTAATCCGGCCTGGTTGCGTAATTATTGGGAACGACACGCCCATTATTTATGCAGGGCCAGCTGTCGCCCGTCCGCTGCTGGGCGTAATTGAATGATTTTCGGTCATTTCGGCAAGTGCTTTTGCTTCCTGTAATTTTGGTCGATTTCTTGTCGGTTTCCTCTTCGTTTTCGCATCTCCACTTTGCGCCAGGCGATTGATTATTGATCTCATCCTTGAACACGTTTTGAGGGCAAGGCATGGCAGGGCAGGGCAGGGCAAGTGATTTGTCCGCAGACGGGATGATGACTGACTGCATGGGAGCCAGATCCAGATCCAGAGCCAGGTCAGATCACGCTCCAGTGATGCGGCGGGTTCAACAGCCAGCAGAAGTGCCGAAACACGAGCAGGGGCCAAAGAGAAATCTCTTGCAGCTTATGGCTTCCGTATGCCGCCATCCATGCCTCGCGCTCCACTGGCCACGCTGAGACCTCAAGATACATTTCTTATTCTGTTTTGCTTTTCTTTCTGCAACTTCAATTACACCACCACCAGCCCACAACCACCCAAAAGGGGAGGGGCCGTGGGGAGTGTCAGACACAAAAACAGATACAAATGTCTATTCTATTTCGCTTTGGTTTATTTATGCTGTCTCATGTTGGCTGTGTGTGTGTGTGCGCGTTCTACTCGGTGTACGAGGAGTCTGTGTATCTCTGTGGCAAGTACAAAATGTCGACGACTTATAATTCGAGCAGCGTGTAAGATATACTCTCCTCATCCCTGATTCCGTCTGGAATGCGCTGCTCTGCTCCGTTGGTTTCTGTTTGCCATCGCCATCATCATGATTACCATCATCATCATCAGCTTGGTCTCGTCGCAATCAGCGATCCCAGAGGCGTGGCTGGTGAATGTGCTAGAGTTAGGCATTGCAGACGTCCCCGTATCATGGTTATGGTTATATGCTATCGGGCCCAAGATCTGCTCCCAGCTCTGCTCCGTCGCCATTATATCTATCACAATCACGCGATATGTTCTCACTTCTCACTCGGCCAGCCACACTCCTGCCTCCTCCTGCCCTCTTCAAACCATCATTCAACGTCATGCTCCCCCGTCATCCTCCTACCCCCGTCATCCTCCTGCCCGTGGCATCAGTTGCAATTGCAGTCTGCTTCTCAGTTTTTTGCGCAATTAAAATTCCGCAAATGTTTCTCAAGAGCGAGCGCACACGAGACGAACGGTGCGGAGCAGGAGGTCTCTTGACTCTGTCTCTGCACCCAAGAAGCCAAAGTATGCGCACGGCTTGTGCGCATGCGCCACCACGTCGCTGCTGCCACAGCAATGCAATTGTTGTTATCAGCCGAGAATGGTCGCTGGTCGCTGGTCGCTGGCCGTGCGCCGAACCTGAAAAACTAGTTTCGATTGCCAGCTGAAGGCATAATGTGTGTGTTTATGTGTTTATGTGTATGTGTGTGGCCACTGTGGCCACGTAGAGCGACAGCGCCACAGTGAGAGAGAGCCCCAGTGAGAGTCCTAGACTTCCTTCGGGTATATTGGGTTGCAGCAAGTCTTGAAGGATCATAAGCGAGTAGAAATAACCAAATTTGAGCTGTGATTTCATTTGATTGCATTCGTATAACTCTGTTCGATGCTATTATAATTGACTTCTTGTGGGGACGTCTCAAAAAGACTTTTTGGACACAGGGTAAACCACCTGTCGAGCACACTTTGCACCCCACATTCCGCCACGCGTTTTTTTGCTATTGCAAATTTCATGGTTGGGAAAGCCAGTAAAAGCCTCATCCAAGCATTTGGCTGTTGCCTCGGCTTTTCTTTTGTTTTCTCCTTTCGGCCAAAACTGGTTAACTGGTTAAGCCAAATGGCTGGCTTGGCCAACATAGCCCTGACTTTGTGCATGTGTAGGCCAGGCCCCACTCGAAAGTCAAGGTAAGAGACATTGAAAACGACTCTCAAAGGGTTTTTTATTATGCTGCTTGTTGTTTTGTATTTTCTTTGGTTTCTTCAGTTGATAGTATTTTGATTGAAGGAGCAGAAGCAGCGGGGTAAGCAGAAGGAGGGTGGAGTGTGGACGGTGGGTGGGGGGGGTAACCTGCTCTTCTCATTAAAATTTATGCGCAGGAAACGGAAGCGAGGCAGACGCCGTTGCAGACAACGACCAGACACAAAGTGGCTTCTTCTAGGTTTCCTTGGCAACGAGCCTGCTGCCTGCGCCACAGTCCTCCACGCTCCCCATGTCCCCCCGCCCGCCTGTAGCCAGAGTCTGGGGCTACGCAAGCGGCGTGACAAACAGGCAGAAAGTGTCACTCAAATTGGCCACAAAATTGAAAGTGATGACACGCCCACACAGTTGCGTTGCCTTGCATAAGTAAGTAATTGGGATTGTGATTGTGATTGGGTGTGGGAGGGGGAGGGGAAGGAAGCAGCGAAATGCGAGGAAGGGGAGCGCGTTTGTCCAAGAAGCGATTCATGAATGAAAGAGGGAACTCTTTAATTGTCGCATTCATGGCATGGGTTTGTGGTGCTGTGGTACTGTGTGCACTCTATTAGATGGCTGCACTTGCTGGGCCCACGCTGTAATCCCATACCATTTTCTGCTCTCTCGATTCCATTCTCATGGACGGGACGTCCCCTCACTCCCTTCACACTTGACTTACGCCTGGAGTGGCCGCAAAGTTCGTTCCCATGAACTTCTTCTGGTGTGTGGCAACCAGACCACACTCTCTGCTCTATGCATAACATTCTCCCATCTGTATCTGTCTGTGTATCTGTGTGTGGGTCTGCTGGCAATGACAGTTTTGTCTTTGTCTCTGCCTATGTCTCTGTCTCTGCCGTCTCGGCATTTCCCTCAAAAAACAAAACGAGAAATACACTTTTCACACAGCTTTTCCTTCTCTCATGGGCCAAAGCCGAGAGTTTCCAGAGCGTGGGAGTGAGAACCAAAAGAAAACAAAACGAAACGAAAAAAAATCCAAGGCACAATTCCAATTCACGGAACATCAAGTGCTCTTGAATTCGCTGCCACGCAGAGTGCCAAGATTCCTCCTCCTGCCTCCTAACGCTGGGCGGAAGTTGCCAAGATGTGTGCCTCACGGGTGGGCCATGCCATGCTCAACATGCTCAATCCCCCATCCCATCCCATCCCCAAAACCCTCTTTGAATTGAAATTGAAATCGAAATAATGAAATTCGTAGACGAAGCACAATTATGTGGTTCGCCTGCTGTGTGGACCGCCTGAAGTTCTGCAATAGTTGGGGGTATTGCTTATGGGTCATTCTACCGCCGGGGGCTTCGATCTCCCACCTCTACCTCCACCTATCGTCTAATGGTGTCGCTTGGAATAGTTTATGGCATCCGCTGCAGTGAGTCACCTTTTATTCGGCTGATAAGCGTGGGTCGTTATGAGGGCTTTCGTTGGAGCATTAGCCCCATCTTAGGGTTCGATTCAACCTGCTCTGGTGCAGGGTCCATTCTAATGTTGATCCAGCCACATGTTTAGCATTTCTATGCGGACACAGAACAAACAAACAAACAAGAAATCCAACTCCACAGACAGCCAACAACAAGTGGCATTCCCCCCATGCCCGATACGATACGATACGATACCCATCCCATTCCCATCCCAGAGCATTGTGTGTGGCTCTGGAAACTCTTTCCATATTTTGTTGATTCATTTCATTTGTTTACCCCACCAGAGTTTCGTGGGAAATATCGCGCCCTACGACTGCAGCCAATGAACTAATTAAAAGAGAACCAAGCTGAAGTTCTTTCCGTTGCTCTGGAGTGTTTCAATTGCACAATCGAAGACTGAACCCACACCCCTTTTCCTACCCCCACCCATTCGATAAGTTGGAGGGGCGGGCGAGTCTCCCTCGTCGAGTCATACCACTTGAGGAGAGTGAAAGAGATTTTTGGTTTAGTCATTTCCTTCGAAACGAAATTCAATTACGGGTAGCCAGCCGCAAGACAAGGCAACGGACGAGAGCAAACAAGCCGGAAAAGCGGAAAAGCATTTCGACAAATTGGCAAAGGCCACAAAAGGCAGGGCACAGGGCATGGCAGGGCATGGCAGAAGGTGAAGCCGAAGCCCGGTAGCTGCAATCGCTGGAATCGTTGTGTTGTGTGTGTCTGTGTTTGTGTGTTTGGTGTGCGGTTGAGAAAGCCGCAGAGCAGAGCGATAGACGGAACCGTCACCTCCGTTCTCCGTTCTCCGTTCGCTTCCGCTTCAGCGTCAGCGTTCGCGTCCACTTCCGTTCCGTCCGTTTTTTATTGTTTTCGCACCTCGTCTTCCGTTCGTCGGCTTTGGGTCGCTCGGGTCGCCGATCGCCGATCGCCAGTCGTCGTCGTCGTCGTCGTCTGTCAGCGGATATTCTACTTTACATAAGCGGCATTTCCTCAATTTTCCCGGTCTTTATATGATTTATTTGATTTGCCGGTTTGTTTTGCTTAGACCATTCGCCCCTGCCCCTGCCCCTGTCTTTGTCCCTGGCCTTTGCCACATAAAGATGGAGAGATTATGAATCAATATTTGATTGGTACGAGTGTTTGATCAAAGATATTAGTTGTGGTGGCTGGCCGCATTCGGAAGATAGAGCCACACACAGTCCTTTCTGTTGGATCACCATCAGAGTCATCAGAGTCTGACAGGAGCCACTGAGCTGCACTGCTGCTCAACTGTGTTTGCCACATCGTCTTTCGTTCCATCCTCCCCTGTGGTTACTCCTCTTTACTGGCAGAAGGTCGCCCTAGCATTCAGTTGAAAGTTCTCCCCTCAGTTGTGAAGAATCTGGAGACATTCAGCCGAAATGAAGTTACAACTGTTGCAATTGCAGTTGAAATTCCTGGTGTGTCCCTTCCCGGTTGCAGATTCCTCTGAAGCGTCAGCTGCTGGACATGCTCAGAACTGCCCCATGCCATCCATGCCCGCGTCGCTCTGTGCCTGTGCCTCTTCTTTTGTGGCATGTGTCAGGTTGCGACATCTGTTTTACAAGATAAGCGGCCGAACAGTTCGGGTCTGGGTCTGGGTCTGGGTCTGTGTGGACTGTTGAGGTCGGGGCTCATTTGTCTCACTTCCTTTACCTTTAACTACATCCCGGATGCTCCCGAAAACAGAGCCAAACTGCACTAAATGCAAACTTACAAAAAATCCAGCGACAATGAGCCACATGGAGCGCGTCAACAGCAGCAGTGGCAGCAGCAGCAGCAACAGCAGCAACAGCAGTAGCTGTAGCAGGAAGAGCAACGTGCACCACGTATCTGTATCTGCGTATCTATGGATCTATGTGTGTATCTGTGTATGGCTGTTCATTCATAGAAGACACAATACAGAAAGAAAAACCTAAATGAAATGAGCGGATGCACGGGCGGATGGAGCGCTTTGAATTTGTATACGCGCCTCTCTCACACTCTCATTCTCTGTCTGTATATGCATGTATGTACAGATCTTTCTTTCCATCTATCTAGCCATCCATCCGGGTTCTATTTGACTACCGATGCTGATTATCGTTATCCGTTATTGTCATAATTGTTCCGCTGTTTTTTTTTTTTTAATTTTTATTTGTTTTTTTTTTTTTTTGCAAATGCCACTGCTACTGAAATGACAGCTAAAATGGGAATTATGGCTCTAAAAAAAAGATGAAATTGAATGGTTAGATAGGTGACAGATCTCCGCCCACTTTAATGATGTTCTGCTGCCCCTTTCCCCCTTCTATTTTCTATGAAGCAACTCCATTTAGCCCCGTCCACCATCCACCATTAATCACACACACAGACACACACGGAAAAAGGGGTCTTCAGAAAATAAACACTTTCGGGGTGATGTGATCTATGTATGGCCTAGGCCTAAACAAATGTTGGCATTAACTTCTGGCCAACAATAACAAAGAGTCTATTGCACTTGTCTGTGTACGTGTACGCGTCTGTATCTGTGTGTTTCCCCCCTTTCGATACATCCAACCCAACCTAAGTGAATGTTAATGATGTGCTAATTGGGCAAACGTATTTCACTTGTCAATGCGCGTCTTCTGAGGGGGGAATTGTGAAAGACATAAACAGAACATAAAGCACAGCGAAGATCTTTTAGGAATCTTTTTGGTATCGCTCGCTAAGTGTTCTCCGTGGGACAAGGAGAGCCGAAAGAGATCTCAGAGACTAAAATAAACTACATTTGTGCTCAAAGCACTGGAAATTCGATCCATAGATCTGCATATCTTTCGCTTTAGTTTTCCATCATGGAAATGATCCACTGAAATGAAATTTCCCAGCAATATCAAAGACCAGCCAAGCGCACGTTTTCATTTATAAAATTTCATTTTATATTTTCATCAGATGCGAACTTAATCAACTAATAGGACAGCATTTGAACTCCGCTTCCGCTTCCGTCTCCGCTCCAGATTCTGCTCAAATCGAGGCAGAGAACCAGAGCCCACTTCATTGACAACATCGAAATGCAGATTTAATGGCTAAGACTTAAACAAGAAGAGCACTAGCGACTAGGCGTTACAGCTAAACTAAACTAAAGCTAGACTATGTGTGAACCCTAGAGTATTTACAACCAGTGAGGAGGGGGGGTGAAGGCAGAGCCCTAGGAGAGCACAGCCATGGCGCGGGCCAGGCGTACGCGGAAGTCACGGTAGAGCATCTTGCCGCCGACAGGCACACGGCACAGGTACATGTCCAAGCTCATCAGGCACAGGGCCTTGCCGTTCATGGGGAACTTCTGTGGCAGCTCGGGCGTCACCTCCAGGCCCTCGGAGACGGCCATGTTGATCAGCCACTTCCACACATCGGCCCGCGTCCAGTCGCGGGGATCCAGCGGCAGGCCATCCGATCCCATGGGATGCAGCAGGCTGGTCGTGGGGCTCATCATGAGGTCGTCACCCGATCCCGTCATGGTCAATCGGTTGTTGTTGTGGTCGTCGGAGCCCAGCAGCGACACACCGCCGCGACACTTGTCCAGCACGTGGTGGTAGGGATGATGATGGTGGTGGTGATGATGCTGGTGACGCTTCGACGATGGCGTTGTTGGCGTCCCACTGCCGACGGCGGCCCACAGCTCCTGGGCGGCATTCACCTGGGAGAGATCCAGGGGCGGGACACGTCCGGCATACTTTGGATAGCTGGCCTCCACTTGCATGTTGATTAAATGTCGGGTTCTTGTCTGCAAGTGAAAGAAAAAGTAGAATTTTTGTGATTAATGGAAGTGACTCAGTGACTCAGGGAGGGGCGGGGGCGGGGCAGTGGCGTCAGGGGAATTGGGCGGTACTTGTCAGCGGAAAGGGGGTCAATGCATATGGGGCTGGGTGACGGAAATGCTTTCACGAGCTGGCAATTGTTTTAATCGCAATGCCAGCGAAAATATAAATACAAATACTAGCACGAAAAAAAAGAATTAAGCACTGACGACTAGGAGATACCCTCGCAGCTGATTGGAACAGCGAAAACTATAGAAAAAATATATAAAAATAGATTCTGTGAGCGAAGAAACATTCGATCTATAATTAAATATCGGAGATCCTTTCGTTTGCCTTGCCGAGGGCAGTATACCCTTTAGCTTCCGGATTACGGGAAATATAATATTACTCATACGTTAAGTGGACCCTCCTGGACCCTCCACTGTGTCGCAAATGAATCATTGGGGGGTTTACTTAATCTCCACTCCACTCCACCCCACTTAGAGCATCCAAAGTTCGCCATGGAACAACTTTGTTGCTTCCCCCCTCCCTCTCTCTCTCTCTCTCTGTTTGATATAATATTTTGTTATTAAATCTGACCTTGTTGGCGGATGGCAGAAATGGGCGTCATCCGCATCGTGGCGGCGGGTCGCACGCGAAAGGAAGCGCTGAATAATCATTACCCAGCGCTGCTGTCATATCGATCAGCGGTCGGTCACATTCTGCTGCTACCGGGACAGAGAGAGATAGAGAGCGGATAGGGGCGAGAGAGGCGGACGGATCTGACATAGAAACGCAGGCAGAGAAACGACTGCGATTGCGATTACAAACAGAACGTAGACAGAACGGAACGAAACGGAAATAATTACCCTCCCAATTGGCAGCTGCGAAAGAGGCGAGCAAAACAAAGAGCTAGAGAGAGCGAAAGAGAGAGAGACTTTTAATTCGGAATCAGATTTTGAATCGGCAAGGGAATGGGCAAAAACAACAAGCGAAACATCCGCCGACGGCATAAAAGGTGTCAATGCGAATGCGAATGGAAGTGGAAATGGGAATGGGAATGAGCAAGGGGAATGGAAAAGGGGAAGCCAAGAGAGCGGAAGCCGCCGCCGGGCTCCCAGCTCCGAGCGCCGAGATTTAAGGGCTCGTTCTGCGGGGAGCAGCTGACAGAGAAGGGGGGAGAACCTTTTAATAGTTTTCCGGAATACCCATGCGAGCTTCGCTTCCGTCCAAGGAAGTGCGTAAAGGAGTCGCCTCGCTGTTGAGGGAATCAGTTTTAATTACACAGTTCGTTGCCAGCAGCAGTGGCCATGGAGGGGCGCTACAATTCCCACGAAATTCTGGATGCCATGGGGCGATGGGGTAGGGGTAAACAAATGAACTACTGAATCAATAGAACATGGAACATGGAAAGAGTTTTCAGAACCACACACATCGCTTTGGAATGGGCAACGAATGCCACTTGTTGTTTGGTCTCTTGTTTGATTGTTTGTTCTGGACCCAAAGGTATATGCTAAACATTAGAATGCACCCAGCACCAGAGCACCCCCAATCGAACCCTAAGATGGGGCCAATTGCTCCACCATTACGACCCACGCTTATCAACCGATTTGTGACTCACTAGAGCGGATGCCGTAAACTATTCCAAGCGACACCATTAGACGATAGGTAGAGGTGCCCCCCGCAGCAGAAATACCTCCAACTATTGCAGAACTTCAGGGGCGGTCCACACAGCAGGCGAACACTGTGTCTACGAATTTCATTATTTCGATTTCCAATTCAAATTCCAGAGAGGAAAAGTGTTGGGGGGCTGGCACAAACATCCGCACAGCACCAGAAGGAAATTTGAAGTTCCCACTCCCACGATTCGGGTCAGCAAAGTCAAAGGAAAAGCGTGTGAAAAGCTTGTAGGTGGGATGACGATGACTATGACTACGATTATTCATCATCAAATGCCAAATGAGTCGAGACAAATAGATCTGTCGGCGGGGCTTCCGTTGCGTGATTCGAACACGGGAATCGTTCACCCACAAATGACTCGCTTTCCCGGCTCAAAGTGATTGATACGTTGTGGCAGGAACAGCAGCAGCAGCGGCACTGGCACTGCCAGCACATGGCATCGTGGCAATGACATTCGCCTGATCGAGGAGAACTCGTGTTGAGCACGCGTCGCATTTTCACGCTTCGTCGTCTTGTTTGGGGGTGGGGGGCTCGATGGAAAGGGAAATGGTTTTCTGTTACTATTTGGTGTTCGCTTTGTCCGTTGACAAAGTCAATGACAGGAAGTGGAATGAATCGTCTGTGCAATGCTCGCATATCCGCCTCCGCCTGCGCACACAGGATGCAGTTTACCCTCGCACCCTGTTGGTCTCTCTCTCTCTCTGTCTGTCTCTTTTTTCCAAGGAAATGCTGACACACACAAACACACACACACAGACAATTGCAGATAAATGAGGAAATGTGCGATACTTGCGCCAGTTTTAATTACATTCACGAAATATACTCATAGCTTAAGGGGCGTTTCTCTCTGTGAGCTCTTTTTGGATCTTTGCACTTTGCACCATTACCTCTGTCTCCGTCTTCGTCTCTGTCTTCTGTCTCTGTCTTGCGTTGCTACTTAGTGGCAGCTACTAAACAAACAACCACACAAAACATACATACATATGTATGTACATATGTACACTTGGGACCTGGAGACATGCCGTCTTTTGAGTGTGCAAAAGACAAACGAAACGTAAAATAAAAAAAAAATCGTAATTTGAAGTTCGTAAAAATGACGCGTTTCCTGTCATTTGGCTTTGGCGAGCACTTTAAGTGCGTAATTTGCTATCCACAAATATATGTGTATTTTTGTGTCGGTTTTGTGTCTTGTCTGCTCTGCTCTGCTCTGTCCTGCCCTGCCCTGCTCTGCTCGGTTCTGTTCTGTTCGGTTCTGTCGGCGGGTGTTTACGACGGGTATACTCTCATATGTCCCATTCCATTTCAATCTCCTTTTCCCCCATCCGCTCCCACATCTCGCATTTCCGCTTTCTCAAACAGATTCTTGGTGGTAGATTTATCATGGAGGCTGACATAATTTGCTTATTATTTACACGTTTATCATCTCCACAAATGGCATGGGAGACCTTCCTCTTTAATTTAAATTCAAATTAAATGGAGATTTACTTTTAAATTGTACTTTGCTTAGGTTTGCTCAAGCCATCCCCAAAACTGCCGAATAAAATTGCATTCTAATAGAAAAGTTTACATCTCTTGTCGGATAATTATCGTTCTGTTTATAATTCGTGTAAATGCGCTGTAAACATGATTAAATGCAAAATATTGCTGTCTGTTTTCTTGGCTAGATTTCAAGGCAACAAACTCGTTCATTCATCGGAGTGTAGTCGGAGTGTAGCCAGCAAAACATGCGATGCAAAAACAGCAGACGACAGATGATAATCTGCTGAATATTGTTAAAAATAAACATTTTTGCTCAGCCACAGCCACAGCCACAGTCGCAGTCGCAGTCAAGCAACCCAACCGGATTCCATTTATGCACATGTTGCTGTTGCTGCTGCTGCTGCTGCTGCCTGCTGTTCTTGTTGCTGTTGCTGTTGTGACGTATGTTTGCTGATATTACAAATCATGTAACGCCATTGAGGCGGCTGCGTCTGCGTTTGCGGTTTTGGCGGCGGGATCGGCATCGGCATCGGGATCGCCGTCTGCCCGACGTCTGCATACTGACAGTCCCCGTCGCTTGTCTCCCATTCATCATTTCCCCATCAGTGCCACAGCTCAGCAGTGGCTGGCCCCCAGTGCGTTGTCGTGATGGACGGATGTGTGACGACTTTCGGTCTTGTTGTCGCTGATGCGTTCAACAGAATACTCGCATGTACAGCCAAATGGCGCCAAATGCATCTCGGAATAGCCTCGCGGAGTCTTGCAAGTTGTTTAGTGGGTGAGTACGTACGGGTAAATTAGAGGAGGGACTGCGACTGCGACTGGCGTTCACGCCTCGCACGTGTCAAGGTGAAGTGAGGCATGCAGCAGGAAGTCAGCCCCCAGAGGGGGAAACAGACGCCTGATAAGACGGTCATAGAGGGAAGGCGTTCAAGTCAGTCAGCGGTTTGTCATTTCCTTTCGGGACTGGACTGGAGCTGGCAGCAAAGGTGAGTGAGTCAGCTGGGAAATTAATTAAGGCGGTTCGAGCTGCGGGACCAGGTGCACATTCGCTCTGTCCTGCAGCTGCAAAGATTACAGGCAATGTGTGAGTGTGGCTGTGTGGTTCCCTGCACACCCTCCCTTTCTTTGTAGGACTCCATCCCCATCCCTCTGCGCACATCCTTTGCGCATGCGCGCGCATTCAATAAGGAGCAGAAGCAGAACAGAACGGAGTCGAGTGCCGGAGAGCCGCAGAGCCACAGAAGAGGGTAACAATCGAGCTGAATGCATCTTTATCGACTTGGCCACAAAAATTTCTTTTGCAGCTGCCGTCTTGGCATTTTAAGTGTCGCTTTGCTGTTGTGTGTGGGGCACTGGTAGTGGTGGTGTCTGCCTCGTTGCGGTTATTCTCGCTTCTCAACGGTTCTCTCTTCATTCTCTTTCTCTACAGCTCTTAATGCCAAACCGTTCTGGATAGAGAGGGATTTTTTGTTTTGCTACTACAAATGTTTTGGCTTGAAATAAAGACTAAAGCAGCTTAACTTTGAGTAAACCCCTAAGATGGGTCTTAACTTGTACGAGAGCATCATTATGTTGCTGCATTTTCAGAGAAATCTCCTAGACAGACTTCTGATCATTAGCTGTAGATTTTCAGCCTAAAAGAAAGTGTTTCAAATCTTAACTAGTTCGTGGCCTCACAGACCTTCAATTTAAGACCTTCCATTAACCTTTAGTGTTGACCTTAACTTATTTGTACTAATCCCCAAAATCATTTCAAATTTCCATTAACTTTGAATATTTTGAATATTTGTCCCAGGGCCCTAGGAGCACATCTTTAGAGGTCAATTAGGCAAAGTCCCGACCCAAGATCGCTTTTTGTTCAGTTTTGAATGCAAGCCAGCAAGCCACCAACAACATGCTGGCTAATGGATTGAACCTTCAAATCGATTTTTGGGTATTTTCTGTTTTCTGTTTTGTTTTTGGATTGGGTTGGAGTGCTAACGAGGGCCATAAACGAAGCTTGACTCTGCCTAAAAATATGTAAACCCAACTTACCTTGATCGAAAATGAACGTGTGGTTAATCCAACAATAGTTTGTTTTGGAAATCTGCTTCGCTTGTGGCGTTTTTTTTTGTATTGGAATTAGCGAGATTATTATTTTTTATATATGTATATATTTGAGTTATCTGTTTGGTTGATGGAAACTTCCTGCTTGGAATTTGTATATGTTTGATATGTGTATGTATGTGTATATTTTTAGAAATTGCACTTTTTGTCGCTTGTTTTGGCTTTCGCTTCCAGCGCTCTCTCTCTCTCTCTCTCTGCGTTTCGTATTGTATCTCTCGGATACGTTTCACAACTTTTGCAGCAAGTAACGTATTTTGCACGCTTTGAACTACTTTTTCTAATTCGCTTTTGGCTTGAGTTTTGAAAGGTTTTTTTTTCTTTTGTTGTTGTTGCTGCTGCTGCTGCAATTTGCTTCGTTTTTCACTTAACACGAATTGTGGTTTTGATTTTTGGGTGGTAAATCCAGTTTGCCAAACTGCAATGCAACGCAGTGTGTGAGGCTACGAGTATCTTCGTATCTGGCGGATGAGTAATGCGCTCGCTCGTCTCGTACTTTGTTGTGTATCTGTATTGTGTATCTACGTTCTGTTCGCGCGCACTCAACGTTTTCGACTGATAGCGATCGTGCCTGTGCAGCGAGTTTTGTTGCCTCGGTTTCGTCTCTCTCTCTCTCTGTGCGCAAGCAACCCTCTCTTGCTCTCACTTTAGGTTTGCTCTCTCTCTCTCTCTCTCTCTCTCGCGCTCTGTGTGTGTCTCCCAGCTGTTTTGGCCCGCCAGCTGTGGACATATTAGTAGATCTTTTGGTATCTGGCAGCCAGCACGATGCTCGACCCGCATTTCTGTCTCCGACTGCTAAGCTGATTGAGTCAACATTTCTGAGGTCGGAGGTGAATGAAAAGGTTCCAGAGATCGAATAGGGTCCACAGGATGGGGTTGTGCATCGGAAATGTGGGCTGACAAAGGGAGTCAATATGGAAATTCAGTGTGAGAGTGGATTATCCCTTTCATGCTCACCAACCCTGTGCTGCTGTCATCGATTGTTTATTAGCTTTCAACTTCAAATACCCATGTTTCCCCCATTAGCAGACAACTCTTCGTGGTGGACCTTTGACTTGTCACCCAATTTATTCCAAATTTCCATTAACATTTTCCATCAATTTATCATTTTACACTTCGTTACCAAAAACCGAAACATGTGTACAGGAATAGGGAATAGGGCGAATGGAATTACTTTCAATTATGCCTGCAATATAATTTAGGAATATCTCAAAATTAAATTTAACGCTCCTCTGTTTCTTTAGAATGTTCCCTCAACCTTCTTTCGAGCGTGCACTGTATACATAGGCACTGTGCACATATTAATAATGCACTCGTACACTCATCTATCTACTCATACTCACTTATTCATGCGCTCACTGATTCATTAATTTTTGGACGAATTTTCCCCGCTGACTAATTACGCAGCCAACGATCATTGCGCTTCCCTGGACTCGGAGTAATTACAGGAAATCCTTTTTCCTGCCACGCATTGAAAGCATTTCAATGTAAATGATTCCAGGCCTGGCGGCTTCCTCTCTTTTTCGGAGTGACAGCCGCAGGATCGAAGCAGTCTGACACGCATGCCAAGGCGAGGTCCTCCGAGGATCGCAGCAGATCGTAGCATATGGTCTGCGGCCAGACATGAACATGTGACCTGGCTGTCAAGTGCGTGTATACCCTGAATCCTTTGGCCCCTCGCATGTCATAGGCAAAGCGTGAAGTGAGATGATGACTCGGGTTACGACAGTACTTCTTTGGAAATGGCATCGAATCGATCGAGTTCCAGGATAACGCCCACGACGGGCACGCGCATACGTGAGGACAGGCAACGCAGCGCTGCACTCAAGATGGTCCTGCACTCGAATTGCAGCACAGCTGTGGCAGCCTCCACCTTTGAAGCGGTGTCCTGTTGCGATCTCAAGTGCATCTAATGGCTTGTTTATCAGCGGTTGTCGATCTTCGGGCAAATAAATTGAGTTTTTCCTGCGTGTGCGCCAGCGCCTTTTTATTTTGTACCTAATTGATTTCGGCGTCGCTCTAATCATTTCTAATTGCAATGCTTAGGACTGCTTCCAGGCAGAGGATAAGCATGCCGTTACTGGCTCATCCTGTCCCCATAGGATGTCCAGCAGCTGCCGTGCATTCAATAAGAAGATAAGAAAGATATGAAATGTTGCAGTTCCACCCATGTGTAGTTTATATGTATATTTCATTCATATGTTTCTTATGCCACATAATTTGCATTGTTTATGGTCTCTACGATCCACGGAATATAGTTTCTAACATTCGTGAATACACTGACGCCCTTGCATGGGATCTCGCCATAGCTGACAATCGCGAACTGAACGTTATAGGCGACAAGTTCATAGCTTACTGTGGCAACCAATGGGCCCCCAGAGTCGCCCGCACACGAATGGCGAGCAGGATCCCCCGCACAGATGTGCCTCTGATTGACATCATAGCCAATGTCAGCCCGGCAGCTGAATCGTTCGATCTGCGAGACATTTGCAGTCTGGAGAACGGGGCTTATCAAATCCGTTTCGGTCTTGCCCCAGCCGGCCACAGAAAACTGTTCAATGGAGTCTACATAACGCTGCCATGTGTGAGTGGTGTCCAACAGCAGACAGATCGGCATGATGTTTCCTACAAGAAAAATGGGTTTCAATATACGAGCATGATATAGGATATAGACATTCATTGGGGTATACTTTGCGCCACCACATTCCTTGAGAGTTTAATGAGAGCTATATCAAAGTGAAAGATAGTCGTGTAGTAAGGATGCGGATGGAAGGACTCGACGTCAAAGTCTTCAAACCGAGCACAACCTTGTTGCCGGCAATCTGTCTGGGTCCTGGCATCGTATTCGCCCAGTCGCACCACTCTGCGGCCAAAAGAAAAGCGATTAAGGTATCTATTGTGGGTGTATCCAAAAGATAGAATTTACATATGATCCCGATATCTTATACAATGCGCAGCAGTGAGAACGAAGCCTGAAATGAATGAATAAATGAAAAAATAAATAATTAAATAAATGCAGGCTTCAGTTAAATATTCAAAAAAATACAAACGATAAGTGATTAGTGATCCGGCGCAAATAAATTTCCCATTTCTATGCAGATATGACATCCATGGTGTCGAGAACAGTTCAGCATCCTCGCCACCTATCGTTCTGAAGCGGCTCATCCTCTTTGAACTGCAGCTAGGTTCGAGCAATCGCAGTGATCCATAAACGTGGCATGCCACTAAAACTAGCATCAAAGTCCCTGCGTGCTTCATCGCGGTGGAACAAGAATGAGACTGGTGGAATCGATGCGAAAAAATGAGCTTTTTATGTATGTGCATTTTGCGAATATCAATTCTACTGAATGGTTTAATATGTTCTGAGAACCTACAAAATCGAAAGCACCAGATAACCTTAGCACATTATGAGCTTCCCCTTAGAGGCGGTGTCATGTTCAGCTGACATGCGTCTACATAAAAATAAATAGAGTGCATCCTGCGTGTGCTCCATTTTTGTAACTAATTGATTTCGAGGACAGAGGATAAACACAGATACAAATGCAGCTACGCTGGCTCTAATCCCAGGCTTATCCCGTCCACATACGTATGCCTAGCAGCTGCCATGCATCCAATTGCATTCTCCGAGTGTATATGCATCTATTGTCTGGGCAGGAATCGGCATTTGAATCTACACACACACACACACACACATCTCTCGATAAGAATCGCCTCGGACAGGATGTGCAATGAGAATTGCCAAAAAGGAGAGAGGATGTTTTCTTAGGTCCCCACGAACGGACCTCGTACGTGACTCTGTGAGGTAATTGCTGTGTGTTCGGTTCGTATGATAATTGCCCAAAGGAATGCCCGGTGAGGAATGCTCCTCGACTATTTGCTTAGTTTTTGTTGTTTTTCAATTAGGTTCGTGTTTGCGCATAAATAGAGTTGCACCAAGGGAAGGGAAGTAATCCCCGTCACGTGAAGCGATCAGAGGCGATGGTTAATTTACACTTTACACTTTACATACATCTGGCGGATGGCTGAGATATTGCAGCTGGAGGAACTCTTTGGGATGGGATGCAGCGTGTGCCTTGAAAATATATTAAATTCCCAAAAATATCTGTCTACTTTTGGATACCCATTCCTTGGGGTTGGTCTCGCCAACTATTTATAGAGCATCGATGCAGCGCCCCTCGAAGTAGACTAAACGATTTACGAGCCAGAGGTCTGTAAATATATTCGAAATATCCTCTGGACATGTTTCACGTACCCCAAAAGTCATTAAAGATCAACAAAAATATACAAAAAGAGCACCAAAGAGACAGAGGGACAGAGGGATAGAGGGAGTGGTGAGCGTAGTGGCGGTGCTGGTGCTGCTGGTGGTGGTGGTGGTGGTGCAGAGCGAAGTAAATTTAACGATCGCATTTGGGGGATTTCCCCGCTCCAGACAGACACACATACCAACATACTAAAATAATCCTAGGCAGCTTCTGGTTCGTGCTCGGCGTTTTATTGGCACTTTCCCCAGACTATAAATCAATAAACAGATTGTGTGGCATCTTCCGTCATAAAGTTTTCAACGTTTTGCCCTCCTCTTCGTAGAATTTCGTCTGCCAGGGAGGCGGAACAGCTGTCGATCTTTCCTGGGTTTTCTCTCTCTCCACTGAAATCGTATTATTCGCTGTCTCTCTCCCTCACTCATTGGCTGTTCCGCAAAACGCCTAAATCAATCGGAAAAAATAATAATAAAATCCCAAATGAAGTAACCGTAAATAAAAAAAAGCTGAGAAAAAAAAAGAAGAGAGCCGCTCGTAAAGATCGCATCCGAAATGCCACACAGCATACAGCAGAAGATGGGTATACATACGTATACCAGGAGGCAGGGCAAGGCAAGGCAGGGCAGGGCAGGGCAGGGCAGAGGCAGAGACAGATCCGAGCACCGGAGCGTAGAAGACAATAGAGAAAATAACAACAAGCCGCAGCAGACTTCCGCTTTCGTTTCATAAATTCGGATTAAGGCATTTCCCAGTGATAACAATGAAAGTACATAAAGAGAACGACAACGAAGACGACGACGACGACGACGACGGTGAAGAAATGCTCCGTGAATCTGATTAACGGGGCGGCAACAATGAGAACTTACAAAACGTGTCACGTAAATGGTTTATGCACCATCCATTCCAGGCATTCGGGGGCAGCAGCACAGCAGCAGTACAGTAAAGTAAAGTAAAGTAAACCCACAAAACATGACCCAGAACAATCGGCATAGACAAACACCACCACCACACCACAAGCTCAGTGAATTGTCTCTGGAGGGAAATCTCAAATGAGGCGACGGCTTTTTGTTAGTTAAACTACTTAAACAGATCTCTTGTGGGATTGTGGAATGATTGTAGGTAGGCACGGAAGTGGATGCTGGCAGGGAGTTACGAAATTACGGGATTACTCGAGGGGTTAAACTAAATATTTGTTTATATACCTAATTATATGCCAAAGGGAAACAGAAGCTAACAAATGATAAATAAATAAATCCGATAGATGCATGTTCCCCACCAATTTCAGAAATTAATACGGTAAAGAATTAATTTATAGCATCAGTTAATCGTAGCCGACAAACACAGATTTATATTCAATGAATGCTGCGATTCTCGCATCCGACAGATGCATTTGACATAATCTGGAAAATACAAAATAGATAGGTCAAAAGACAAACACAATCCGCAAATGCCTTTATCATGCAAACTAAACAACTGACAGATACATTTTGGCAAACACAATTACAACAATGCTTAGATGCCATCGAGAGACCGTAAATGCTCGCATCCGTTGGATCGCTCGATGCATTTGGCAAATATTTGAGACCAGACAATTGCATTTCCTGCCTTCGCATACAACACATGGGATTAATATTCTGCCACAGGAGCGTTGCCCAGGACCCGGGACGGGTATCATCTGTTGCTGTTGCTGTTGCTGCCGCTGCTGCTGTTGCTGCTGCTGCTGCTGCTGATGAGCGGAAGCGAAGGAAAGGCGCGTTCTCTGTACACAAACAGAGGCACCAACACAACACAAAAACAAGGAAAAGGATGTCCTGCTGTGTGTGTGCGAGGAAAAGTGCGTGCACAGCAATTAACATTTTCCGCTTGTCCCTTCAGCCTCGACAGCCTCTCTGCAGGACATGTGGCCAGGAGCCAGTGGCAACAGCAGCAGCAGCAGCAGGAGGGGGCACACCAAATTAGAGTCTCATTTCGATTCAGTGTGAAAGGCAGCAGCAGCAGCACAGGAAGCGAGTCCGCTCATTGTCCGCTCACGTCCCCTCCGCTCACGGACAGGTACAACTCCCCAAAATATTGTCGGTGATTAGTGACTTTCGGTGCAAGTCGATGAGGAAACGCCTGCGGCGTTAATTGTTTGTCCCAGCTCTGTGTCCCTGTTTGATTTGCACCGCTCTCTAAGCGGGTTGAGGCTAATCTGGGCCACAGGAAGCGGAAACAACAGCGAGAGACGGAACACGGACGCTGGAAGCCGGAAGAAGGAGCAAGGAAGGAACAGGAAGATCAGACCCTGACCCCTTGAATTAGTTTGAATTTTGCCGGTTTATTGCCAATGTGAGTGATCCCAAAAAGGAAATGGGTAGAAAATATTCAAAATTTTGAGTGTAAAACTATAAGCCACTGTCGCGTCTGAGGGAAATTATGCATTATGGGATCGGGCTGGGGAGGGTTGGGGTGGGGTGGGGGTGGGGTGAGGGTTTTTATCAGTCACGTTTCTCGATCCCGGATAATGCATATTTTGCCGGAGGCAGCGATGGAACTGTCTGCCACTTCTTTGCGGCCCGACGGCGATCCTTCGATCTCTTTCGATTTTTCTTTGGCGGCTGCACTTTTCTGCCCTCGGTTAGGTCCACGTAGGGACTCTGGTGGAGCGTCACCCCGGCAGCCGTGCGCACCAGACTCCGTCGCGTATCGGCGCCGGTGAGCAGATAGTTGACTGGGAACTGCAGCATTCCCGGCCGATAATGGGCGATGGGGCTGAGGCCGAGGAGTCCGATCTTGTACCGGACATTGCCAGCGCCGCCCAGCTTGCGCGCCGAGCCGCCCATACAACCGGCACAGCCCGCTGCAGATTTATTTGGTTTGCTGGTGTTGGGTCTTTCATTCTGAATGTCATCCGTGTCCACCTTCTGCCACTTCCGTCCGCTGTCCACGACCTTGCCCGCATTGCACTGGAAGCAGCGCGCGTTCTTGACGGCCGCGTCGCGCTCACGCCGCTTGCTGGTGGCATCTCCGCCGCCGCGCTTGTGGCAGGGTCCTTTGCAGTGCGATTTGCAGCCCTTGCTGCAGTTGTGGGGCGGCTTGCTGCACCGGCCCACGCAGTCGTGCTTGCAGCGATTCTTCTCGCAGTTGGGCAGGAAGAAAGGTGCCGCCTCGCTGCCATGGGCTAGATAGTTGGACGACCTACTCCTGCCCAGTTCATGCAGACTTTCACGTGGAGTGTGCGTGTGGGTTTGCGACGGGGATGGCATGGTGCTCTGTGCGGGAGTCGGCAAGGCTGTATGATTGGCGGTGTGCGGGCCGTTGAACTCCGATGTGGCACGGCTCAGTGCGAAATCGTCTTTGCTGGCCTGATTCTGCACCATGGTGGCGGAGCCAGAGGCCACTCTCTGGCGGTTCTTGCCTCTTTTGATCTTAATGTAGTCCGCATTGGAGGGTCCTTTCTTCTTGCTGTAGCTGGAGTATGGCCGGTGTTTTTTCTTCTTCTTCGGTTCCTCCGAGAGCCCTATGAAGATCTCCAGGGCCTGTTTGAGTAGGGCGGACAGATCAGTTTTGCAACACTTTCGGGCGCAATCAGCCCCGCAGGTGGCGTCACATTCCGTCTGTTTCGACTTGCACTCGCAGGAGGGGCAATTGCAATCGCAATTGCAGCATTTATTCTCGCCATTCCCGCCACCGCCGCCGCCTGTTTTACACTCGTTGGGGCAGCATTGACAGGTGCAGGTGCGGGATTTACATGCGCAGGATCCTGGGGCAGGCGCTTTGGCTGGACAGGAGCCCATGTCGCATGAGCTGCGGCTCCCATCCATGTAGCCTACAAACAGATGGACAGACAGAGAGGGTGAAGTCCTTCTGTGTGGGGGCATGTCACTCACCATCCATGTCCATGCTGTAGCCATCATCGTAGTCCATGTTCCTATTGTACTGCTGCTGGCTGCCTCGATTGAAGTCCACCATCTCGTAGTCAATGTATCCGCTGAGCGGATTGTTGTAGCTGTTGTAGTTGCTGTATCCTGGTGGCGGAGGCCCAAGAGTCGCATGCCCCTGGCCCGGCTCCTGGCCATGACCCCCGCTCCGGGAGATGGCCGTGGTGAGCTGATCGATGAGCGCATTATTGTCACAGTCCTGCAGCACAATGATGTTCAGTGGCGCCGCACTATTGGGGTCAGCCAATATCTGCTGTACCTGCTGCTGGGCCTGCTGCTGTGGCTGCTGCGGCGACCACGACGGGCCGCTGTTAATCGGCACCCATTGTCCAGCTTGCTGCTGTGGCGCCTGCTGTGGCGCCACTTGTATCGTCTGTTGTGGCGCCTGTTGTGGCGCCAGTTGTGGCGCCAGTTGTCCACTCTGTTGGGACGGCCGCAGTCCAGACGGACGCGGACATTCGCAGTTATTCCCCGATGGCTGACGCATATCACATTCTGTTGGCGGTGACTTTGACTTGCGACAGCCCCATGCCTGCTGCACCGGCGGCAGGGGCATTGGCAGTGGGGTGACTGAATAGGGAAACGAGGGATACCCAAATACCTGGGCCGAATACGGCTGATACAGCGACTGCGCTGGTGTCTGATAATAGGGTGCCGTCTCTCCACGCTGCGAAAAGTACTTTCCCATGGCGTCATGGATCCTGGAGTTGCACTCCTTGCACAGTCCGCCACACAGCCCGTCGACGCCCTGATCGTCTCCGTTGCGGCTCTGGCAGAGCGGGCAGGTGCCGCCTGCGCGCCGACGCTGTGCTTCAGCCGGCGCACTCTGGCGCAGGGGACAGCTGTCGGCAGTGTCGTCCGTGCCTTTGCAATTCCCCATGCAGGCGCTTGTCTTGCGGGGACACTTGCACCTGCCACAGGGCGACACGGTGTAATCCTTGCACTGATTGCAGTTCCGGAGGACAAAGATGCGCTCGTTGCCGGACTCGGGGGGGCTGCCCTTGAGGCAGCCCTTTTTCGGCGTTGCTTGTGCATTGGCCGATTCATTCCCGGCCGATGACCGAGGATCATCCGAGGCACTGTCGACGTCCTGCGTCCTGGAGGAGTCCGTCTGGGTGCATTCGTCGACTTCTTCATTGCGGGGGCTGAGGAAGTCCCAGGAGTGGCCCATATTTTTGTCGTTTCCGAAAGGTTCCATTTGTGAATTTTGTATGCGGCAACTGTTTGTCGTTTGACGCGTAGCTCCCGACTCCCGTGGCTGCTAGGTTTTGGATTTCCACTTCTTCATGTAGCTGCCAAACAGCCGGCGCCAGCTCCATCCGCCCGGACTCTTGATGTTGGGGCCGCCGAAGATGTACCCCTGGTAGCTTTGCAGCATTCCCGGCCACCTCGTCGTGGCGAGCAGCGACTCGGAGTCGGGATTCAGCACCAAGCCGCGTCGGGTGTTGGCTCGCAAATGGCTAATCGGTTCCCTGCGATACACGGGTCCCCGGCTGCTCTCGTTCAGATGCTCCAGCGACTCGCGGACTGTCAAAAAGCTGCCGCGATAGAAGGCAGCCGGTCCCCTATTCTCGGGAACAGGGACAGCCTCCTCGGCTGGTGCTCGTGTTGACGGCTGCATTGATTGTGGCCGTTGGGCGGCCCTTGGGTTTTGCGTGCGTGGCAAGATTGCCTCATGATGTGGTGGCGGCCTGCTGTCACGTCGATCTTCATTTTGTGGACTGGGTGGAGCTGCTGGCTCGCGATGTTGTGGCCTGGCGGTAGCTTGATCTTCATTTTGTGTCCTCCTAGGACCTGCCTCCTGGTACTGTGGCTTGCTGGCAGCACGATTCACGTTTGCTGGTGGCCACATAAGAGCTGCACCCTGATTTTGTGGATTGCTGGCGGCTCGATCATCATCTTGTTGCCGACTGTATGCTGCTTCTGGATGTTGTGGCCTGTTGGGGCTTCGCGCTTGATTTGGTGGCCTGGTATAAGTTGCTTCAGGATTCTGTGGCCAGCTAGAAAGAGGCTTCTCTTTTGCTGGTTGACTTGTGAGTCGTTGTGGCTTCGACGGGATGGGTGTGCTCGGTGGGAAGGTTCGGGCTAGTTCGGATCTGGGATCTACTGGGATCGGACGTACAAAACCGGGAAACGATTGATTGACTGAAGTGGGTAGCACTCGGCTTTCAAGGTGATTCGGACTGGCATATTGTCGTTGCTGTTGGGCACGATGTGCCTGTGCCTGTGGCTGCTGGGAGTATCGTGCCTGTGGCTGTGGCTGTGACTGTAACTGTGCCTGTGGCTGTGCCAGTGGCTGTGCCTGTGGCTGTGCCTGTACCAGCGGCTGCTGAGGGAATCGTAGTGCCTTCGGCTGGCTCTGAGGCAAACGACTTGGACTAGCAGCGCCACTTCGTCCCTGATTGGATTGTCGGTGAGCCGAGGGCTCGCGTCGCTCCGGTGCCAAAGCTGTGGAGAGAAACGAGACCGAAAAGCTGACAGAGATTCAATCGGTGCCATGGCTGGTACGAACTCACTTTGCCTTGGGACAGAGGTACTATGCTGATGCCTTTGAGGCAGCATGTACGGTGCCTCAGCAACGGTTGTCGGCCTGGTTCGGGTTCTGCTGCGATTTCTGGGCACTCCGGCTGATTCGTTTCTTCCGCCCTTACAACGTAGCGTCCGGGTCCTGGGCCCAGGTGTTTCATAGCAAATGCGTAGGAGGCAGGGTTGTGGCACTGCCGGAAAATGGCTGCTCTTGCGTGATCGGCGCACCCGTCGTATAGGATACGGCGGTCCCAAAGATCTATAAATGGTCGTTGGCTTTTTCTAGTGGGGGGAAGAACGAAAAGCTGATAGCTGAGGGAAGACGCTGAGGGAATCTCCCAATGCTTGGGGCTTACCGTTTGGGCATTCGGCAGAATGACCAGTTTTCCATATGCGGCACTCCCTGCAGTCGGTCGCTTGGGTTGCACGCGGCAGACCAGGCGGATGCAGGCCCGCTTTGGCTTTGGCGGCGCACATCCCAGTTGGTCGCAAACGGGACATGTCTTGGTGGTTCTCTCCTTGTTGGACCAGCTGCTGTGCGCCTCTGTCCCGTTCTCCGGATAGCCGTAGTGATGAATGTTCTCCTGCCACTCCATCATCGTCTCGTCGGAGGCCTGGTACTGAAATTTCCTGGCCCTAGTCTCATCTGGATAGCCGTTATTATCGGTGTATTCCTCCAGCTGTTCAGAGCATGGACGGCACACGGCCAAGGGATTCCTGCCGTGTATGCCCCCCCCACACCTGGCTGATCGTTTGTGCTTGTGCCTGTTTGTCCAGTTTTGCTCGTACTTCTCGAAATACTCCTCGTGGGGCAGAATGTCGTCCATTTGAGAGCTGGCCTGGCATACGGCCAGGGGATTCCTCTTCAGTATCTTCTTAATTGGCTTTGTGGCAATGTAATCCGTTGGCCGCCTCTTCGAGGGATTCCCTTTCGATGTCGAGCAGGAGCAAGCAGATTTCCCTGCAGACTTTCCACTGGCGGCCACTGACCGTTGGGAGCGAACTGCAAACGGGCGGCGGGATCGGGCTTTGGTCCGCACAGCTACTGGCGGAGGAGAACGATTATCTCGGCTACGGCTACGGCTCCGACATCGCGGACATCGGTCGGAGCACACATAGCCCTTTTTGTGCTCGGGGGTATTCCGTTTTGTGGTGGGGGTGGGGATGGCCGCCTTGGTGCATTGGCACTTCTGGACGGGTGTCGCGGCAGGTACACTGATTTTAACAACTTTCCTTTTTCTCTTCTTGCTCGTGGACCTGTAGTTGAGGGGATCAAAGTAGAGCGGATCGTTGCCGTCTCTGCGTCTGATCCCCGTACCCGACTTGATCTCTCTGCTGGGCTTCGTTTTCGAAGTGCCTTTGAACTGGCGATACTCCATGTAATGGGACTTGCCCTTCGCGTCGTTGTCCTGGCTTTTCCTCCCTGTGGCATCTTTCTCCGCAGGCGATTGCTGCTCCATTGGCTCACTGCCTTCGATCCAGTTGTACTCCTCGCTATTTTCCATGTGGCCTGTAGGAGCCGTCTCTGTAGGAGGCGGCGCGTCGACGCGTGGATCATCCTCTATTGTCGCGGTGCACGGGTAGCAAGAACACGGTTGCTGATTGTTGGGTTCGGTGCTTCTGATCCTGTTGTTATCCATGGCGTATGCATTGTGTGGAGGTAGTTTCGCAAGGGCTGGTCCAAGCCCCAAATCAGACGCATTTGTGTAGAAAGGACACGTAACGCACCCAGGCTCCTGCTCCACCTGCTGCTGGAATTGTGGCGACCGATGAGACCAGTGTTGTCCCCGATAGTACTCGTTGTTGCCGCCTTCAAGGCGAGGCTGATGGCTCAGCATCCAGGACAGGCTCAACAGACAATAGCTGCGATCATTGAGTTCGGATTTAGATGCCATTGCGAAAGTTTTTGCTGCTGTATTCCAGAGGGATATTCCTGGCTGCCTGTGCTCTTGCCACACGACTCGTTCTGGCTGCTATTAGGTGGAGGTGGAGAGACGCCCCAAGACTACCATTGCATTTGTCTTCTGGCTGCTGTTACACCCGTGATACACCCGTTCATCATCCAATTCAATGGGACTGTGAATTTGTAGGAGCTGTTGTGTAAAGTGAACAAAAAATGAATGAGTCTCTGCAAACTGACAGTAAAGGGAGAGCTTATCTGCTCTATGGGTGGGGAGTTGCTATGGGGCATACTTTGGGCCTTTATTTCACTACAAATTTCTGGAATCTCCTCCAGAATCAGGCCATAGACAAAAAGCCTGGGGCACAGTTTCGTCCCAAGGGGGAGCATGCAAATCAATGACTTGGACTTTGTCTATGGTCTGTCTTGGACATAACAAATGGACGCATACTCGCTCTACGATACAAAAACGCCACACAATGACGATGCAGCAAGGATGCCCAGCTTCTGATTCCTAGAAATGGTGTCGCATCGCACTGTTCATCATGGGGTACATCATGCAACTTGCAGTGGCCAGCGGAATCTTTTCCCACTGTCGCTGGGCATGCAGCTGCTGCTGGACCGTGCTGATGGATCGCTGGCGTCGTTTCTGGGCGGGCGGCTTGGCTGTCGATCGGGGGCGCTGCAGACGCGTCTGGGGCTTGGACATATCCGGCTTCGGCCAGTGCAGGGGTCGGCGCAGGACTTGGTTAGGTGGGGGCATGGGATATGGGTAGGCGAGCTCCTTGATGCGGCTGACTGAACGCCGCTTCCGCTTGCGGCGCATAGGCTTGCATTGCTCCTCCTGAAAGAGTCTGTAGCAATGATTGGCGTAGTCATCTTGCTGGTTATGGTTGTGGCTCTCGTCCAGAGTCTGGTTGGGGTTGTGGCTCTCACACGAGATCTGGTTGTGGCTGTGGCTCGCAGCCAGGATATCTGGTGACTCCGTTTCCAACTTCGGCGTGCTGTACTCCTGATCATCATTATCATCGTCAGAGTTGACCATCAGATAGACGGAGTATTGCTTCTTTTTCTTCATTTTCTTCTTTTGGCGTAGATCGGAGCCGTAACCCGCCATCATGCGTTGCTCTTCGCATGTCTCACTCTCCGGCTGGTCATCCTCCTCCTCCTCCAGGGGACTACACATCTGACCCACCAGCTGCATAAGGGACTGCCAAACGACGCTGCCATCCTGCAGCTCCGGGTTTTGCAGCAGTTGATTGATATTCACCTTACGGATACGGTCCTTCTTGCCCACCGAATCGGGTGCTTGGCCGCTGATACCTTCGTGAACATCCAGGCTGGAGCGCTTTTCCCTTGCTGGGCATTCCGCCTGCTCGGGCTTTAGGGAGGTCTGGCTATGGTGTGGGGTCTTGGGCACTAATCTGCTTCGCCTGGCACTCTCTACGCAGGGTTTTGGAGTCCTGAGTGTGTCCCTGCTTTTCTCTTTGGTGAGGGTGCTGGTGCTGGTGCCGGAGTCGGCACCATGGTGGTCGCCCAGTAGTCTGGACGACCTCTTTCCCTTTCGCTTGGATTTCTCTGGCTCGGTTTTACTTAGGATTCTCTCCACCTTAGGCCACTCTGGGGGTCGTGGTGGCTCCCTATTGAGGGATCCTGCTTTCGATCCTGCTTTCGAGCTTACCTTGGAGCTTTTCTTGGGCTTGACCGCTGTATCCCCCGCATTTGGTGGCTCAAGTATAAACGATCCCGAATCGGAATCCGTCCCTTCCGAAACTGAACTCCGATGATCGTAGGAATCTATAAAATTGTTGACGAATTTCCCGAAATTAAAGGTACAAGGACTCTGTTGTTGCTGTGGCAACTTCACTGACGCTGGTGGATGTTGCTCATGGGCGGGCTGATGTTTCCGCTGATATCCTTGGGGCTGATCTCTCTGCGGTTCCTTCTTCTGCTGGCTGATACGCCTATTCCCACCAGGCTTAGCTAACGGGTTTGGCTTGCCAGGAGCCAGCACCCGCTCGTGAAGCTTGCCATCCATTCCATTCATCGCATGGATTGTCACCCGCTTCATTTTCTTGGCATGCAACTCGGTGGGTACGTTCTGGCCCCCCTCCGGACGCTCTGCGTTCTTTAGTATACCCACGGGGGTGTTCACCTGTGACGGCTGGGGCGACAGGTGGAACTCCTGCAGTTTCTGCAGCTGCAACTGCTTCTGATGTAACTCCTCTTGCTGCTGCTCAATGCGACTGGCGGCCGCTGCGAAACGAGAGGACTCCGTCTCGAAGTAGCACACAGGAACCTCCGACTGGCAGCCAGGACACTCGATGATGTTCAGAGAGCTGGCAGAGTTTTGGTGCTGCTGGGCCATGGCTGCACCTATCTGGTAGTCTCCCCAAGATGAGGATTTCATTGGCCTACAATTGGTGGCGACAGGAGGATGACTGAGCCTGGGTGCCTCCCACTGAGCTCCGCCCCACGTCGGCGGATAACCTAGCTGAAGCTGCGCTGGGGCATGCTGCTGTTGCTGTTGCTGCTGCCTCACATAGTTGGCCTGAACCATGCGCATGCTCTTGGGCTGTGGCACGTTCACAATCTCCGTGGGTGACCACATCAGCTGGCGACGCAGCCGGGTCAGACGGCGACTGCTCGGTTCCGGTGTTGCCACCACAGCCATGCGTGGCACGGCGCCCGACAACTTGCTCCAGCACATGTTATGCCAGTAATCGGCCATCGATGCGACCTGCTGCGGCTGCCGTGCGGGGGCACGAAAGCTACTGCCCTGCGACATCAGTTGCTGGTAGGCAGGAAGAGAAAGCTGCTTCCCGACGCCGACAACCTTGCGCCTCACCATTTTGTGGTCGGGGATCTGGGGTGGATTTGACTATGGATTTTGGTTGTATTTTTGTTTGCTAGATTTTGTACTTTTGCTATGAAAATTGCTACTTGAAAATTTTTTGAAGGATAATTAATATGGGAAAAACTGTGACAGTGAACGAAAATAAAACTCCCCACTACTAACGCCCCCACCTAAACACGGAAACGCGCAGCCTCCCCAAAGACGCACGGAAAACTTTCAACTGACGTCACGCGATGGTACGTTTTTGTATTCCTTTTCGCATCCCTATCTATCCCATCCCTCCATTCTCGCTCTGCTGTAGTAGATTTCCCGGCATCTTTTCATTCAGGAAGTCGGTGGTCCAATTGGAAGTTTCATTCATTAGTAGCGCACTTCCAGGCCACTTCCAGTATGATTCCTTGACTCCTCTCCGGACGCAGTGCGTGTTCCAGTGTGCGCAGGAAATGTAGAGAACGTTAGAAATGGCGGCGGCAAATTAACCCATTTTCTGAGCTAGGACTAATACAATTTAATTGGATCTAATTCCATATTCCTGCATTGCTTATAAATTTGTGATTCTAGTACTGTAAAACGATGGACTTGACGTTTTTAGGTGTCGGTCGAACCGCCAGAGTTGTCTCAAAAGTTATCGAGCGCTCTCGCTCTCTCACGAACGTAGAAATGAGCTCTCTCGCCCCTTAGTGTGACTGAGTTTGGTATACGATTTCTTCCCAAATCACTGGATTTGGGATTACGCGGGTTTGTTGTGCTAGGGTCACACTGATTTGTGTTTTTTTTGTGAGCAGGTGTGCTCCACCGATTGCTCGAAAGTCGAATAAGCATGAAAAATTCCAATAGCCGAAAGGCAATCGCCACTTGATAATATAAAATATATGTGTTAATGCAAAAATACGAGGCGCACGCTACGCCCACGCGTTCAAGTTCAGTGCAGAGGCGACAACTACAACAAGAAAAGAGCCAAAAAGCAGCGACAAAAGCACAAGTGATAAGAAAAATAATATAAAGTCGACGTGAAAAGAAATCTTGCCAGCAGCAGCCGACGCAAAAGCAGAGAAAAACGAAAATCAAGTAAAACAAAATAAAAGATAGATAGAAATCGTAAAGTGTAAGCGGGAAGCCAGGCATATGAAAAGCAACGAAATGGAGTGTCTAGGCGGAGATTAAATAAATTTACAAGTGTGTTTTTTGTATTTGACCAGCTTTTGTGATTGTTGTTGATGGTGTCGGAGGCTGAAGAAAGAGGCAGAACAACAACAACCACAGTTTTACATGTTCCCTGCGCAAGTGTTTGTGTGTGTGTGCTTGGAGCAACTAACCCTCTGAGATGAGCGCGTGACACGATCGGAAAAGTATCTCAAAAATTTACACATTACACCAGTTGGTTGAATTGACGCATGTGACTTGGTGGGCTGCGTGTGTGTCACGTTCTCACCTCTAGCAAGCAAGATGCGGAAGCAGAGACATATTCATGAATGGCAATTATGTGTATTGCGGCAAGTTTTACCTTCGTCGTAAAAAGGTAAAGCTGTGCGTACGATTTTTCTCACTCTGGAAGCCGTGACGTTTTCCGATGCTTGGGACTTGTGTGTGTGTGTGTGTGTGTGTGTGGGGGAGTGTGAGTGTGCGCTCTGTTGTGTTAACGTCATGGCAACTCCACATCCAGCAAAACGTAAAAATGAGCCAATTGATGTGTTGAATGGTCTTATTGGACACCGTGCGCTTTAGTTGTTTTTCCCATTTCGCTCCGTTATCAATTGCAGGTGCTTTCTCTGGCCCCCTGAGTTCATGTGTGCTTGCGTGTGTTCATATGATGATTGCTTCACTGTGTCTGTGTGTGAATATGCTCGACCTCGACAAGTTTTCGTTTCGTTTTCGCCCTCTCACATGCACACACACAGCCATCCACTGGGAGCGTGTGTTTGTCTTTGTGTTGGTGTGTAATTGTCATCGGGCCTTTTCATATTGTAATTTTTGCTATTGTTTTCTGGCATATTTCCTTGACATCTTGACCCCCTCTCACTTAGCACCCTGCACAGGTCTACCTGTCACGTCTCTGCTGCCCTATGAAACTGTTGCTGCGCCCCCGCTAAAACACCCGAGCATACACAGAAACTCAACTACCGAGTTTCCACCTCTCTCCCTGTCTAGCCTTTGGCAATCGATGGGGCTGCTTGTCTCTCGCTTGGTTTGCTTTTCTCTGTCGTTGGCGTTCCCCACTCTTACGTTGTTGTCTGTCTGGCGCTGGGGCTGCTGTGTAAGTCCAAGCCAAGGTGTATTTGTACAAGGTGCTGGGCGATCTTTGTGTACCGAAACTGTGACAGAATGGGCAACTATTGTGAGAGCTCTCTGGGAAGGCATCACCACCTCATTTCAATACGTCTTGATCCAAGCCTCTGTTCTCTAGCCTTTGTTTGTTGTTGTTTTTCGTGCGTTCTTCCTTCTCTTTGAGCTTGCTGGCTCATTTATTTTACTTCTCGCTTTTTAAAATCATTTTCGCTTTTTGTTGTTGGTAGAAGAGGGCACGCAATCCATGAGCGGCGACTTATCAGCTCACGAATTTATAGATACGCAGAGTACGCCACAGTGCGGGTCAGATTATTAGGTACATGGTCCCATCCCACGACCCACTTGAGAGGTGATTGCGGAAGCACCTTTAACCCGGTGACGTCTTTTACCAGGCCACTAGAAGCCACTTTCAATATGTGCCGTCGCTCTCTCTCTCTCTCCGTCTCTTTGGTCAGAAAGTCTCCCTGTGCCGCGTGTGCGTTGGAAGAGATGGCTGGAATGGAGGCCCCAGCTTCAGTTCCAGTTTCGCTTCCATTGTGGAAGTTCATTCAGCTTTGACTTTTGACTGCTGCGGTTACGGGTTACGGTTAATGTCCCGCCGCATCCCTTCGGTAATTTGAAATCCTATCTTTTCTGCTGGTTTATTATCACTACAACTGTTTTGACGAGTGATAAATGCTAATAAACGAGAAGAGCAACATCCAAAACCTTCTGTTAGAAGAAGCGAAAAAAAGTGCCAATTGGGTGTGAACTGTGGGTGTGTGTGTGCAGGAGTGAGATGATGATATGCGAATAATGCATTGTTGTCCAGCTGCCGTTGCTCTTTTCGCACCCACAAAATATGAGAATAAGAAGAAGCAACGGCATTTGTTTATGCCTATTAAGAGTGTTTGAGTGCTTGTGCCTGGCATTCGTGTGTGTGTGTGTGTCTGTGTTTGGTTAATGTTTGATCATGGTGTCTGTCTTCCTCTTCTTCACTTGCTTTTTGCTCTAAATTGATTTTAATAAGTATTTTTTGACTGCTTCTCTCTGTTTTTTCTCTGTCCTTTGCGACTATGCATGTATGTACATATGTATGTAGTATGTGCATGAGTCTGGTCCCCATACGACCTTGATGCTGTACATTAACCCATTGAGCGTGTTCTCGCCTCTCCCTCTCTGACGGGAAGACTCTTCTTCGCTTGGCGATCGGCTTACAGAAAAACCAGCCATAAGACACTGGTTTCGTCTGTCTTCTACTCTTCTACCTCTAAATACCATTTACTTACTTGGCTTTTACACTGCTCGCCATAAGTAATCGCTGCTGGCAGCGTAGTGGTAGAAGAAGAATATTTCATGGGATTGACTTTTGTGTTCTTTGAGATTTCTGTTCGAATAGATAACGGGTGGGCTCGTGCGCTTATTACACCCTATACTTGTAGAGGTGGAGGGTATATGCTGTTTAAGGCTTAAACTTTTAGAGACATTATTGTTTTTGATTTGGTATTTGTTCAGACAATCATTTAGATCTACATATCTGTTGAGAGGGCATCTAATGGTCGGGTCGTAATTCTGCGATGCAGCGATCGTACTTGTTTTCATTTTACTATCTTTGGTGTTTGCCTTACTCCACGCATATATGTACACACACACACATTTGTAGCTGATAAAAGAAAAACAAAATACATACATATACAACACCAAGGTTAGGAGCGTAGACATGTGTATTAACTCTTTATTAATTATGTTTTCTCTTTGCCACCTATCCTGAACGAAGGCGATAAAGTGCACCGAAATGTAAAAAGCAATTTATCTGGCAAAAATAAAGTGCAATAAAATTAAAAAATAAGTGGAAACAACAAAATAATTGGATAAATAAATTTAATTGAAAATAAAAAAAAAGGAAGAAAAGTGTGTACCTGCAACACGTGCCCCAGCGCCCACACAGGAAGGGCATGGCCCACTGCCCACTGGTGAGCATCCGTTGGAGCAGCCGCAGAGTGTGGTTAATGCAACAATTCAATTAAAGTTTTTCGTGCGGAAGCCAGAGAGGAGAGAGAATTTAGTGTCTGTTCTTGTTGTTGCTGGCGGCGCTGCTGCTCTCTCCCCCGACCCGCGTCCGTATTTGTGTGCATGTGTATCTGTGTGAGAGCGCCGCCAGCAGGCATTGAATGTGACAGACCGACTCCATGTCCAAAGCGATGACAAAAGAAAATGCAGTTTAAGTGAATTTCCTGCGTGGACGACAGGCCAATTACGGAAGCGGGATCGAGTAACGCTATTCCCTCCCCCTACCCCAAATCCGAGCTCCCAGCCACAACACAGAGAGAGAAAGCCAGTCTTAGAGATGGCCTCCACACCGACACAAGCAGCACCATCAGTCGCAGTTCCAGCAGTAGTGTCTACGCCACAAAACTACAAAGTGCCATCGACCAGCAAGATATCCGTGGACAAGCTCCTGCGCGTCGGCTACTACGAACTGGAGAAGACCATCGGGAAGGGAAACTTCGCTGTGGTGAAGCTGGCCACCAACATTGTGACCAAGACAAAGGTGAGTGCGAGTCCTGGAATGCCTTTTAAGCACTCGATTTCTGTCGATTTATGGGCTGCCAATTAAGGTTATCCCCCCAATTTTCATCGATTATAGCATCGATCTTGATCAGGATCATCTTTGATTATGGTTAATTCTCAAATAGCTTCAGTTATCGATTATGTACTATGTACATTCCGTATACTTTTTGGGGTCTCCACACATACATCCCTTCCATCAATAGTTTCCGAAATGGTGGGATGATTTTTGATTGCGATTTCCGCTGACTGAAATTGATTTTGATGATTACTCTTTGATTAAATTGTTTATTGCCGCGTGAATATGTGTAGAGCAATTATTTACACAATTTATTGACAATCGGGAGTTTCGTTTCGGCTTTCGGTTGATTTTTCGATTGTTTGGGCTGTTGTTTGCTTTCAATTGACAATGTCGGTGGGTCGGCTTCAGGGGGGTTTTGGGTTGGCGGTATTGGGTCGGGGTAGGCGGCAGGTGGCAGGTGGCAGCATCGACAGATGCTAATTGGAATCGCAGTTGTAAGGCATTGTGTATTGCCTTCTCTTTCCATCGAGTTGGCGATGCTCCTCCTCCAAGCAGCTCTCCCTCCCAAAAGGTTCTGTTCTGTCTCTTCAGGAAGTAATTGAATTTCGCCTTTTGTTGCCTTTTGTTTCTTTGCGATTTGTCATTTGAATTTACATATCGCTTACTGTTTTTGTGTTAATCTGGTTTTTGAGAATTTCCTGCCATAAAGTTAATCAAAGCTGATGTGAGTCCCGATCCCTTCCGAAAAACCGCGCTATAGTAGACGTTTTACTTGAAGGAAGACTGCGACTCACCTGCAGTTCCCCATGTTAAGTCACCTATCGATGCGGTGGAGGGGAAGAGTAGGTGCATTGCATCAGGGGAAGTGCTAACAGCAGCAACTGTGACACTTCTGATAATTGGGAGTGTCAACCAATCACACACAAACACACAACCCACAAAGGAATGCGAGCTTTAGATGCCCCTTTTCCCACTTACTTGTTTGGGTACTAATCTTACAAAAGTCCAACATATGTATATACATACATATGTAAATGATCCATCTTTGGCTCTTCAACTCGTTCTCTCATACATCCAATCAGCAACATAAATACAGGGTATCAACACGGCGAGTCTCTTTAATCATTAAACGTGACAATGTACAGAGCGAGGGCGGCAGAAAGACCATCAGCTGAGGGGTGTGAGGTAAGAAGTGAGATCAGTGGAGAACTAAAATGGAAAAAAACAAATAAACGAAATAATTTTTTTTTTGCATAATTGACAACGTTGAGGATTCTGCACTGAACACGTGCCCATCCTTATCGATCTAAGCAATTATCGCTGTTTTTGTCATTTACAGAAAATTTATACAAAAATGGGGAAATCAAACAAACAAGAAGGAAAGGGAAAGCTTTAATTTTCTTCTTTTTCCGCACTATTGAAAATCCCAATCCCTTCCTTCCGTTAGTATGATTTGGTAGCCAAATAACTGTATTTTGATTAGAGCTTCAAGATACATTTAAAATAACTTTTCTTCTTTTTTTTTTGCATGGCCAATCAGTAGGGCAGTGTGTATTATGTATACATACATACATATATGTATGTATATAGCTCTGGCTTATCTCACTTAAACGTATTTGCCAATAATGAACTACAATCAGTGGAAAACGGCATCCAACACATGCATCAATATACAATATATACATAGATACATACACATGTACAATGTAATCCGAAAGAACCACAAAATGGATCGATAAGAATATGGATGACATGTGTACTTATGGAGAAGTGCTTGCCGTGTATCATAAAATCAAACCATAACCTAGTTTAAATGATTTCATCATTAGGAACCCAGAATTGTTGCTTCACAGACCCAGGGGATCAATGGGGTACAACACGGGACTAACTGTTGTGCCTCTCTTTGCCTCTCTCACTCTTAATCACTTTCACGTGTCGTTTTTTTTTTTTTTTTTGATTAAATTTGATTGCAGTTTAATTGGGTAAAAAGTTTAATTTAATGCAATTATCGGTCTTACGGTCGGCGGTTTCCTTGGCAACTGTTTTAATGCTCCAATTGATGCAATCATGATTGAGCAGTCATGCAGCGCACTCCGCTCCACTCCCACTCTTTGGGCGCCTCTCCTTGTGCTGCTGATTGATCTTTCGCTATGGTATGGGTAAATATTTAATATTTAAGCTGCCGTCGTCGTCTGAGCGTTGACTCTTTGGCCAGCAGACCGAAAAAACATTCTAACAAGCGTCAGACAGAGAGAGAGAGAGAGAGCGAAAGAGAGAGAATAAGAAGAAGAGCAGGCGAGGTGAATAGCAATCGCTTAAAAATCTTTATTTACCTTTTCATTAACTCTTTCGCGGCTTTTTGTTATTCGCTTTTCGACTGTCTGTCTGCGGTTTTTTATGCTTGATTTTTCTTTTCGCTGTTGTGTATTTACGAAACCCAAAAAATCATGCGCACTAAATCTAAGGCCGCCAATGTCGCCCAATCTGTCTCTCTTCCATTTTTTCTTGCCCCTCCCCCCATCCCTTTATTGTCTGAGTTTTGTTGTTGACTCCACTCTTCCCCTTCCTTCCATAATTCACTATTTTGTTTTCAAAAACACACATTGGCATTATGATAACCGAAACTGTTATCAAGTGCTTCTTCTTTTCGGTTTTTTTTTGTACCGAGAAGAATAGCCTGAAGCCTCAGCAGCAGCAACAAAAAACATTAAAGAAGCCCCCAACAAAGTGGATTCGCCAAATCAGTCACGTGTGTTTGCTCACTGTCTCTCTCTCCCCCTCTCTCTCTCTCTGTCTGTCTCTCACGCTGTTTGTCCGATGATCTGATTGTTTGTCCTTCACTCCCTCTCTGCATCAGCAGTGTGTGTGTGAGAGATGTTTTTATTCTATAAAAACTGTTCTTTCGTTTGTGATACCCTTGCCAGAGGTTACTAGAATTTTGAATAGAAGTTTGTAATGCAGATAAGGAAATTCATATACATAGGTATACAGAAATTCTTGACCGGTTTTCCGTTTCTTTAAAAACTATTATCTGTCTTCCTCTACTTTTATACAGAGATCCATTTATTTGCCATAGAAAGTAAATATGTACATATTGGTATATTCGTCAAGCTGAGCACTAGGAACGATTTATTTGAAGGGTAACTAGTGCTTCGGAACAGAGGTTTCTTTTTTAATTTAAATTATTTCATGCACTACATAAATATGTATGTAATGTATGTACGTATTTCCCAGCTCCCGAATCTCTATTGAAATCCAAAGCTCTTTTCTGATAGCTCTCACCGTCCGCCCACACAAACACCGCAACCCCTTAACCCATTTTCACTTGCAATTAAGTAGGCCATGTCGGGGAAATTGTGAATTTTATAATCGATTTTCCTATTTCCATTGTGCTGTCGGACTACTTGCAAATTAAATTGAAAATTTTTAAATTTCCTACTAGGGGCCACATAAAGTGTATTGACCTCTGCAGCCGAAGAGAGCAGGAGAAGGAGATTACCTGTTAGGTGAGAGAGTAACAATTGCAGCAGCCTGAAGAAAAGAGGTCGCATATCGATTAAACACGTGTATGGTGGCAGGGGCGTGCAACAGGGGGCCGTGTTGCTTGAGTCAGAGACTTTGAAGAAGGGGTAGAGAGTGGGGTGGGGTGTGGCGGGTGCGCTGGCAACTCGTTTGATTACCACGCGTAAACAGCGACAATAAGAACTAGAGTGCAAAAGTTGCAAGGACCCGCCCAAACGTTGTGCAACATTTTGTGGCAGTCACATGCCGGTGAAGCCCCCCGATAGACAATGCCAATGGAAATTGTAATAATGGACGAGGAAGCAAAGCCACCCACACCCAAAGCGAAGCCTCCCGAGAAGCCACTCCGACGGAGAACACAAACCAAAGCCCCAGCCCCAGCGCCAGCACCGTCTAGGACCCCGAAGGCGACACCCACTGCGATTATGTGTGAACTGACGCGCCTCAAGGCTCAGCAAAAGTACCTCGAATGCCATCAAGTCAGGCTGAATGTCAGCAATTTCCAGGATAGCCCAGAAGACGAGCCTAGTCCCGAAGGCACTGATGGATACGGACCCCCTTCCCAGGGGAACGCTACCAGGCAGAGGCCAGGAAGCTCCTCCGCTGCAGCCCTCACCATCCTGATCAATGAGATTGAGCGCCTGCAGCTCGAGCTGGACGAGAAAATGCAGGTATATCGCTCCACCAAGCGCAACGAGCTGCAGGACATGTGGCACTATGTCAGCGCCATGAAAGAGGACGTCTTCCGGCCGGAGCGTCTCAGCATGTACACGGTCAACGCCCTGAGAGAGCGAATCGTTGGCCTGAACGGCCAGCTGGAGCGGTTGAGTGCGAAGAATTCGAAGGAACTGGAGACGCTGCGAGAGGAGTACCAGAAGTTGGAGCGCGAGAACAAGTTCATATGGAGGGGCAGCCTATAGAACCCTCAGAGTCTAACGAAAGAAAGTTGGATATAAATTATGATTAATAAATGTAGACGATTGATAAAAGCTTTCCAAGGAAATATACACATATGTATGTACATACATAAAAATAAATTCGATGAACTCACAATCGGAGTATAATTTAAGGAGAATTACTTATCTGTGCTGCAGTACTGCATAAAGGAATATGGAATATGTTGGAGTCCAGTCACTCATCAGTCGTATGTGGAACGATCTATCTTAGTTTTGTAAATTCCTAACCTGCCATCGGATAGCTTCCTTAGTTATGGTTTTAGAAGTTCGAAGTAAAAGTTCAGCAAATTAGATTAAACAACGATTCATTGAAATTCAGGATATAGCGAACAATTCATGAAATTCGTTATAAATTTCAATGTGGCCTTTATTCCTTTCAGTGTCCGTCGACGTCGACGCTCGTAATCAACATTTCAGACCTTGGCTGGGCTTGCAATGCCTTTTCCTTGAAATCAATAGAACCAAAGAACCTTTTGAGGCGATATTTTGCCTTCAGCTGAAGGATTCCTTAATGGAGGGAGGCGACATTGGGCCTGGGCATGTCGTTGTCGTTTTCGCCATCGCTCTGTGCTGTGCTTGTTGTAGCGGCGATTATTTTGAAATGTCTCATTTGCGAGCAAAGGCTTAAGGTTCATCGCGTTTGCCTGCGACGCAACGAAAGGTCAAACGGCACGTGGCAATGTGGCATTTCCTTCCCCGCCCCCATCCACCCATATCTGCGCCCTATAGTGGTAGAACTGAAGTTCAACTTGGGCGCTGGCTGCGGCAGGGTCTCTGCTCACGTGGCACTGGAATTTCTCTAGGGCGTACAATCAATTTCGTATCAGTTTGTTATGCTCTTGTTGATGTTGTTGTTTTTTTTTTTTTTTTCATGAAATTATGTACGGTGTCAAACTCATTTCGCTCTCCTCTCCCACCGCTGGCTGTTACGCGTATTACGGCGTTGCAACAAACGAACATATGCAAGTTCCTGCATTTGTCTCAAGTTCTCAAAGTCGAGATGCAGAAAAAACTATAACGAATGAAATTGTATGTCAATTTTGATTAAATTTTATTTATTGCTTGGTATTTGGTATTTGAATGGCGCGAAACAGAAATTGTAGAAAACGAATAAAAAATAATATAAATAAAAAACGCAGAGCAAACGGAATCCACAAAACGAATTTGTTTTAAAGTTGAGAGAAAACCAACCGGTGCCTGATGATGCTGCCATTGTCATTCAGCCGAAGAGCTTGAGAAAGAGGGGAAGATAACAGCAGAGAGAGAGAGAGTCAAAGCTAAACAAGCTTTATTTAGATAAGGTGATGCATTGGGCATTGAACGCTCTGGTCTTCCAATGCTTGGCTAATGTGCTTCAATTGCTTTGAGATCGAGAGAGCAGCACTCAAAAGAGTATAAATACCTCACCTGATAAAAGAAAAAAAAAAAACACAAGGCGGAAAGCAGCGTAAAACGAACGTGCGCTCACTTTTGTTGTTAATTATTAAACATTGTGTTAAATTTTTTAAATGTTTTGCGAATACACAAAAGCAAATAAACAGTCAGCAGCAGCAGCAGCGGCAGCGTCAGAGTCAGCGGACAAAAGTCGTGAGCAAAGAATGTTTTGTGTTGTCTCACTTTGCGCTTTATAATCTGCCTCTCTGCTCTCCTCGCTGCTCCGGTACCACACCGCTACACACACAGATGTACACCGGTATCCGAACACGCGCACCATGTATGGGGTGCTCTGCTGTTGCTGCAGACTGTGCGGCCACCTACCCACCTACCCACCTGAACCTGAACCACCCCCCACCACCAGTGGTAGCAGCTGAACGACGCACAGTGGAACTAATTGATCCAATTTACTTCATTTGATATTAAAATGGAAAACAAATGGACTGACCTTGTTACGAAGTAAATTTAGCCAATGTAATTGAAATGAACCAAATACCCCCAGCAAGCCAATATTTAGTATCTGCCCAAAGTCTCTTTGAAAGTCTCTTTTTATAATATTAATAGAAAATGGAAAGTTTTCTTGGATAAGGTAAAAGTCCTTATAAATTTTATCAACCAAAAATAGCTTTGTTCCCACTGTGCATAATTCAAGCGAGACGCGTTTTTTCCTCTTCCTTCTTCGTAACTTTCGGCTGGCAACCCACTCATCTTAAATTTCGATGCTGCTGCCTCTCTGCAAGCAAGTGCGCTCTGCTCCTTCTCTGCTTGCTCTCTCTCTTTGCGGATCTCTTCGGTGTGCTCTGACAACGTTCGTTAACCTTCGCCCGAACGCAGCGAACGACAAACAAACACAAACAAAAGACCGCAAACATTTAACAAAGATCGAATGAAGAAAAGAACGGTATATATGTAGTAGTTGACTAATTGTATGCCCTCTGTTGTTCCCTTGCAGGTAGCCATAAAGATCATCGACAAGACATGCCTCAACGAGGAGTATCTGAGCAAGACGTTCCGGGAGATCTCCATACTGAAGTCACTGCGGCATCCGCACATCACGCGTCTGTACGAGGTGATGGAGTCGCAGTCGATGATCTACCTGGTGACTGAGTATGCGCCCAATGGGGAGATCTTCGACCATCTTGTGGCCAATGGACGGATGAAGGAGCCGGAGGCGGCACGCGTCTTCATGCAGCTCATCTCGGCGGTCCACTATTGCCATCTCCGTGGGGTGGTGCATCGCGATCTCAAGGCCGAGAATGTACTGCTCGACAAGGACATGAACATCAAGGTGAGCGAACCCCCAGGCCATTGTCCTGCCTTCGGATTGGTGGTTCACACATTGCCTGCATTTGCAGCTCGCCGACTTTGGCTTCAGCAATCACTACGAGGAGGGGGCCACACTGCGAACCTGGTGCGGATCCCCGCCCTATGCCGCCCCCGAGGTATTCCAAGGCCTCGAGTATGACGGACCCAAGTCGGATATCTGGAGTCTGGGCGTTGTTCTGTACGCCCTGGTCTGCGGTGCCCTGCCTTTCGATGGGAAGACCATACTGGAGCTAAAGAGTCGGGTGGTGTTGGGAAAGTTCCGCATACCCTTCTTCATGTCACAGGGTGAGATAACAGCCACAGAAACAAATTCAACCAAATAGTTATGCATAGCTAACACCCTCTATAATTCTTTGCAGAATGCGAGCACCTCATCCGCAACATGCTGGTGGTGGAACCGGATCGTCGCTACACCATCAGACAGATCATCAAGCATCGTTGGCTCAGCGAGTGGCAGTCCGAGCTGCATGAGGAGGAACGAGGAGGCAGCGAGGGCACAGCGCTTCCCTTCGCCGGAGGCTCCATGTCCAACTCCGCATCGAGCTCGTCGCTGAGCAGCGTGGTCGACTCTTCGCCGCCGCAGCTGGACTCGGTGGTGATGACGCACATGCTGCAGCTGCCCGGCCTGACCGCGGACATGATCGCCCTGTCGGTGCACGAAAAGCGCTTCGACAACATCTATGCCATATACAACCTGCTGCAGGACAGGCTGCAGCAGAAGCGACGCGAAAACCAAAGACTGCAGCACCACGCCAGCCTCGCCTACTCGAGGTCCCGCAAGACGAGCATCACGACGGGCGTGGTGGATCGGTCGGTCGAGCCCATTAAGCAGGAATCCCTCGAACGCCTCAGTCCGCTGAGCAGTGCGAATGCCTCCTCCAGCTCGGCCCTGGGCTTTGGCTGGACCGATGTGGCCGTTGATCTGGAGAAGTTCGGTGACTTTGAACTCGAATGCCTGGCGCGACCCAATGAGGTGGGTTCTCAATGGTCCATTCAGTTTCTTTTGGTTTATTAACTAACGAATTACTCTATCCTGCAGCCTCCTGTAAACCAGCATCATTTGTGTGCCAACACAATCGTTAACGGGGCCAACACACGACGCCATACCGTGGGACCGGGGGATGTGGCCCACGAGCAGGCCCTGGCCAATCCCCACGTGCCGCCCATCGACTTTAAGTGCCCGCCGCAATGCAACGATCCCGCTCAGGCCATGCCCTACTATCCCGTGAATCTGCCCATGCTGCAGAACCAGCCGCTGCACAACCTCACCATCAAAGATCAGCATCTGCTGAAGCCGCCTGTTGTCATGGGTGCCAGTAAGTCCTCCCACCCACCCATCCACCTGGATATCCACCTTGATGCAATATGTTCCTACATCTGTAGGTTCCTTTGGACGTCGCGCCTCGGATGGCGGAGCCAATCTGCACATCTATTACCCTGCCAGTGGCACTGTTGGCGGTCCAACCCAGGGCCAGCAAATGGACACGGCCGGCTACTACATCAATCCCAATTGTGGGCCAGATCCCAATATACCCCAGGAGCTTTCGCCGCTCAGCGAGCAAGCAACGGTTCAGATGCATTGCTGTCCAGAGAACGTCACGGGTGACTGCAACGAGGAGCTCCAAAGGTGCGGTATCTCTTTTCCCCTTTATTTATGATTAGGGCCTAACAAGTTTTCTCTCTCTCTCTCTCTCTCTCTCTCTGATCCCATACACAGCTACATGCAGAAGCGTGGCGGTGTTAAGCGTCATACCGTGGGCTGCACTGATGATCTCTCTGTTACGCATGGACCCGGCACGGGGCAAGGCTCCTCCCAGGCACCAGCATCCTCCTCGAACATGCGACAACGACGAACGGGTCTGCTTACGGTCACCGAGCGGCCGCCAGGTGCGTAAATGGAGATGTGCAATCATAAGAAAATGAATTTAAATATAAACAAAATGAGAGGGTTCCCAAGAATGACAATTAAGAGAATTTGTAGTAAAGAGATTCTTGAAGTAAAACCTGTGATCTGATCTGATCAGATCAGAACTACCCTTAAGGAAATACCAAGAATAAGAGGAATATATTAGAAAGGGAAACTGCATGGCTTTAAGTTTTGCTTTATTTTATGCTTAATTGGCAGCCATTTCGTATATTTTATTAATTTAATAATTTTTATTTATAATTTCATTAAACTTATGGTTAAATATTTTTTTTCCTCTCCCTCTTTCGTTTTATGTAAACATTTTTTGGTTTTTGTTGCATTTGATTTGAATTTTGTGTCGCCTGCTAATGCACACCAACAACAACAAAACCACGCACTGCTGCCTACGCTGCTGCTGCTGCTGGCCCTGCTGCTTGACTGATCCCAAAAAAAAAAAAAATCCCCACACGCCGATCGATCGATAGTGATTCATCCCGAGCTAATACGCGAGGTCGAGTCTCGCATGAATCGCGACTATCTGCCGCCCACACTCAAATCTCTCAGTCAATCCCCGCCGAATGGCAACTATGGAGTCGGCCTGGCCATGGCCAAGGGCGTGTCCCCGCCGCATTCCCTGCCGCTGGTGGCATCCGCTTGTGGCTCAGTGCCCTTGGTTGCAGCCAACAATCGTCGCATCCATCGCGTTGTCCACTCGAAGCTGCCCACCGTGCAGGAGGGTGGTAAGTCTTATGATTTCCTTTTCGTTTTTCCTGCCAGGATACCAAACCATAAACGACAGAGAGCGAACCATACACCAGACGCCTGGATGATGTTTATTCGTGTGGCTCATGATTTGTTTCCCTTTTTTCTTGTCTCCTATTCCGTTCAATTGCTGCTGCGCTTTCCATTTAGCGACAATAGGACGCTACAGTCCGGTGCGTCGGGCCTCGGAGGGATCGAAGAGCCAGTTCCAAGGGCCCCTCCAGGAATGCCAATCCCTGCAGAAAGGTATTGCACAGAGAAACTTTTTGGTTGCACCCAGTCCGCCGCTTTTAGAAAATTCGATCAGTCTGCCAGGTAAGAGAGAGAACGAGAACAAAATTCGCTCGCCCCCCAGCTTTGAGCTCCCACCGCCCCCCAAATTCCAAATAGACTTGAGACTTTGAATAATTCTTTACCTGTTTCGCCGCCGACTCCACAGGTTCCCCCATACATGGGAAGCCAGGGATGGGCATGCAACTGGCTCTGCGACGTGGCCATGACATTGCCATTCCGCCGGATGCGATCAAGGGACTGCTGCCGGCACTGGATCGCCTGGTTAAGGAGCAGCGTGTGAGCTACGAAATCGCCAACAAGATAATCTCATCGCATGTGGTGCCCCTCGATCTGGCGCCCCTGCTTGGACTCTCGGCCCATGCCCATGTCAGTGCGGCGGCTGTCAGTGGCGGACATCTGGACCAGAGCCACATACTGCACCTGCAGCAGCTGCAGCAGCAGCAGCAGTTCCAGCCGATGCACAGCTTCAGCGTATCCCCGATTAGTATGCCCCACGCCGCAGTGGTGAATGCCTCGCTGACCTCCGCCAAACAGATGTTCGGACAGCCGATGGGCGGCTATCCACAGTATCCGCCGGCCATGACCCTGCCCCTGCAGCCGCAGCACCAGAACCAGCTCGTGGGACCGTTCAGCAGCATCAACCTGGGGGCCAGCAATTCCAACTCGAGCAGTGGCTGCCAGTCGCCTGTGTACAGCAACAGCAGCTTCAGCGGCAGCTGCTCGCCCAATCCCTACCTGCCCTGTGTGCCCGCGGTGCTATCGCCTGTGTGCAGTGCTGGGGGACCCTCTTCGCCGATGCATCAGATCACCAAGGGCATCTCGGTCCTCACCACAGGCAGTGGCGGTGGCTCCATCACACGCGGCACATCAGCGGCAAGCGAAGGAGCAACTGCTGCTGCGGCTGCCAATCAGCCGCTGGATCTTTCAATGGATGTCTGCGGCGGAATCCAGGTCGAGCAGCCGTCGGACTATGCTACGCCCAACTGGTTTATACCCACGGCCCTGTACTACGACCTGAAGCCGTTGAATCTATCGCCAGCGCAGCCAGTGCGTGTCGTGCCCACGCCCCCTGCCTCGCCCAATCTGTGCATCATCCAGGAGGAGAATGGCAACGGTCAGATGTGTCACACGATCACGACGGGAATGCCCTATGCCGGCTGCACAGGCGGGATCACGCCTCAGATTTGCCTAACCGATGTCCAGGGGAGCGAGATCACCTTGGTGGCCCTCTCATCCGACAATAGTCGCGACAGCGAGGACTCTTTGGAGCCACACACGCCCGTCATGTCCCTGCAGGTGTGTGGAAGATTCCTTCAGAAGTCTCATGGATAGTCTAACCCTCTCCTCTTACCTTTCTTGCAGGGCTTGATCATTACCGAACCCAGCAGCGATATGCCCTCCATTACGCGTGGAATCGGACGCAAGGCGAGCCTGGACTGCGAACCCAGCAGCAACCATGTGACGGCCACCAGTTCGAACTCCCATGCCGAGGCTCAGTGTCGACGGGGGAGCGATAAGTCGCTGGGGTTTTCGGACGATTCCCTCAGCAACGACTCGAATAATCTGTCGCCCTGCCAGGAGCCGTCGGCCAGCTCGGGCTTCAAGTCCGACTCACATTCCGAGATGGGGGACCACACGGAGTGCGGCCACCTCACGCCGGACTCGATGTGCGACTCGCGCCGGATGTCGGATGAGATGTGCTACGAGGTGCCGCTGCCGCACGAGTGCTGCAACCTGGATTCCACCCGCATCCTTGAGATGGTGAAGCAAACCATTGACTCGACCATGCCGCCCAAGGGATTTGTGCTGCACAAGGGCAGCATCAGTTCGGAGGACAGTGGGGCCGAGTCACGGCACAGCAGCGCCTCGAATGCCTCCAACTCGCATCCGGCCTGTGAGCCATCAGGACAGCCTCTGGCCTCCGCCTCCGGCTACAGCGAGAACACCACCAATCTCAGCCTGGAGTATTCCGGCGGCCTGCAGATCGAGCTGCAGGTGTGCGAGGGACGCAGCCGGGACCACCACGGAGCCGGCAAAGGCATCAAGCTGCGTCGCATCTCTGGCGATCAATTCGAGTACGGCAAGATTTGCCAGCAGCTGATCAGTACGATCACCATGCAGCAGGTGGCCGGCTGAGCACCTCCTCAATAAATGTACCCTGCCTTCCCTCCCCCCTCATAGCTACCTACGTACTAAATGACTACTCGCCTTGCCTAAACTCTGCGTAGCTGTGATTTAAGTCGATATGTACGATATATCTATATCTATAAATATCTGTATATGTATGCTTATCCTAGTATGTGTGTGTGTGTGTGTGAAGAACTTAAGCAATCCAGAGGAGTCGAATTCTGTATTTCTGTAAATACGTCTATAGCTACATTTGTATTATGCAAATTCAAATTTAAACCCCTTTTGAAATCTTCTAGCCGTAGTATCATAATCAAAATTAATGAATATCAATCTTTAGAAACTTTTTTCTATTGCTAATCTGATGAAAATACGCCCCCCAAACCCCCTCCCACCATTCAACACATATTAACATTATAGAATTTATGCACATATATTTTAGAACGAAAGTGTATTTCGAGTATAGAGGTATGGCGAGAAGTTCTTAAGCAAGCAAGCAACCAACCAACCAAGCGACAACAAGAGCAAGTAAAATGCATTCCAGTAGCAACAATTTTCATACAAAGGCAACAAATGTTCGTACTAGCTATAAATATGATATAGATATGTAGATTCTAGCGATATATACATACATGCATACTTAATGCGTATATATCAATTAATTTTATGTTCAATTCTTGTGCAATTCGTAAGCGTAAAAAGCGTTTAGTTCAACAAAGATACGTAGGTACATCTTAATCCACATACAATATACATATACATATATGTACATATGGTTATTTTACAAATGTGTAGTTAGTTCTGTCTTCTAAATGTTATGCATTATAGGCGATAAGCTCTCGATTCCGTTACAATTTAAACAATTTTTCTTATCATTTCTGTAGTGAAAAATTCAAGTTTGTTCGTTTGTTTTAAGCGATCTTACGATTAGAGAGAGAGATTGTGGGTGGCGTCGTGCCCTCAAATGCGTCACTACATATACATATTAATTAGACATCCCCGACACATTGAGTAATCTATTTTTTAATGAAAGACTGCTGTGATTTTAAATGTAATTAATTAATTTAAACCGATAGGAGACGCGAGTAGACGAAAACAGAAACAAAAATACAAAATAAATACGAAATCATCTAGTTATATGCGATTATCAAATTACATAAATAGTTCAACTTTATCTTAAATAAATTACCAATTCTTCGAAACATATAAAGTTTATTTTATTTCGATTTTGGGTGCATAAGTGTCATAAAACAGAATATAACAACAATAATGGTTTTTGTTAGTTGGTTGCAGAAATTCAAATGCCACGCGCTTTTGCTGATTAGCCCCTTCTCAACTAGAAAAATATCGACGGTATCGATAGTGGTGTCATCGAGGATTTTGCAGGCTATTTTACATCACTAGCAGGGTGACCGTTGATGTTAACTGCTCGGGATATTTTCAAGTCGACATTGAATTAAAGGTATACTGAAGTTATACAACGGTATCATTTTAACAGATACGGTTAAGAACATTATCTATTTTCAAAACAAGAGGTTGTTACTGACTCGGTATATTTACGGTATATTATGCTAATGAGAAGGTATATTTCGGTATATTTTTGAGGTTCCGACGGTATATTTTGTCGATAAATCCGCGGTCACACTGATAAAATTCAACAAACAAATAAATTACTGGAGAACTTTTTTTGAATTAATTAAAGCTGAAGTAAGCTGAAAGGATGATTTGCCGATTGTGCCTAAACAGCGTCAGCGACACGGACACCATCCAGATATTCGAGAGCATCGGCCTCACTCTGAACGTGGCCACAGTGCTGTCGAAATACTTTTGGTTCGAGGTGCGTTTCGTGCAGGGCAGGATTCGAATCTATAATTTAATTGCATTATTTGCCAACATTTGCAGCCAAAAAACGATGATCCCATATCGACGGTGATTTGCGTGGACTGCTGGAACCAAGTGAGCCAATTCCACGAGTTCTATGTGGCCGTGGAGAAGGCGCATCGGCTGCTCACTGAACGCTTCTCCCTGAATGTGGGGGAAAAGGCCAATAGCGGACAGCCAGAGAGTGAGGAGGAGCCAAACCAGCTTCCCGATGAGGCAGAGGAGATGCACCAGTTGCCTGATGAAAAGGAAGCGCTAAGCCAGTTACTTGAGGAGTCGGAGAAGCCACATCAGTTGTCTGATGGGGCGGAGGAGCTGCTCTTCCAACAGGAAATGGACGTGGGCCACCAGGACTGCGACAGCGATGCCTCCTTCAGCAATGAGCAGTTCCTTAACCAGGTACTGTGTCAGCAGGACACCACTGATGACCAGCAGGCATCTCTTGCAGAGAAGCAAGAGGAAGTGGATCTCAAGAATGTGCCACTGATTGCTGTAGAAGAACGTCGGGAAACGCGCTCAACAGCCAGAATAAAATCCCATCAAACAGCACATATAGAGCTCTTAGAAACAGATCCGGAATCTCAAGCAGTCACAGACAGCGAACCGAAACCTGTGAATACTTCAGCTGCCGCCGCCAAGCGACGAATGCGAAGTCGCAAATCCGAGGAACATTCAATGAAAACCAAACGTTACGTAGACTATAAAAAGTCCATGCTGGATATCGATCAGAAGATCGCTGGCCACATGCGCCTCACCTGCGACATCTGCCACCAGGGCCACGCGACCTTTCTGCTGCTCTGCAAGCACATGCTGCAGGTGCACCACCGCAAGGGCTATGCCATCTGCTGCCACAAGAAGTTCTACAAGCGCTCGGCACTCACGGACCACATTGACCGACACCTAGATCCCGAGAAGTTCAAGTGAGTGGTAAAGTGGAGGCCAGCAATCTGAAATTTAACTCACCCAAAAGAGAATGCCCATTAACAAGAAATACCCTATAAACAAATTTCAGGTGCACTGAGTGCGACAAGACTTTTGCGGACAAGCAGTGCCTGCGGAATCACGAGCTGCTGAAGCACCAGCCCGACGATGTGAAGGTCTTTATGTGTGAGCAGTGTCCGAAGCGCTACACGAAGCAGTATTTGCTGGAACAGCATCGCATCATCCACAAGGAGCGCACAATACCGTGCGGCATTTGCGACAGACGGTTAGTTGTTAGTCAAGCGCACTCGGATGTCCCTCATTTTAATTGGATTTCTTCCATTCTTAAAGGTTTCCCAACGACTCCCTGCTCAGTACCCACGTAAAAATGGTGCACAGCAACTATGGCACAATGTGCGACATCTGCGCTCAGGTGATACGCGGACGAGCGGCCTTTAAGCGGCATCAACTGGAGCACTCGGGTGTCTCAGAGCCGAAGGTACAGTGCGACATCTGTGGATCCTGGCACAAGAACAGGCATAGCCTGAAGAAGCATGTGCGTCGACACAAGGGCTCCTCCGAAGAGGTGCGCACGTGCAAGGTGTGTGGCAAGGTGTCGCCCAACCGGAGCGCCATGCTGAGCCATCAGCGATATGTGCATTTGTCGGATCGCAAGCACGAGTGCAGTGTGTGCAACAAGGCATTCAAGAAGGCCATCACCCTCAAGGAGCACATGGCCATGCATACGGGGGAGGTCCTCTACAAGTGTCCTCACTGCCCCAAGACATTCAACTCGAATGCCAACAAGCACACCCATCGCAAGAAGGCTCATCCCAAGGAGTTCGAGGAGGCGCGCAAGGCACGCACTGAGAGCCGAATGGCCACCACCGAGGATGGGCCTGGGCCTGGGTCTGGGCAGCACATTATCACAATCTCAACGGAAGGGGACGAGGGCGAGAGCGAAACACACAACATTCTGCTGACCGCCACCGACGAGGACCTCAAGGCCGAGGGCATTGAGTTCACCCTGTGCCTTAGTCCACAAGCGGCAGACTGAAGATTGATTCGATCTGTTCGTCTGTTTGAATTATGTAGGTATAGGTTTATTTGTAAGATCCTTAGGCTAGCAGCGAGTAACAAAATAGACGGAGATTTGAAATGGAATGTTCTTGATAACCGGGGACAAACTGGTACTAACCGCGCTCGCAAATGATTTCCACAGCATTGGGCTCCATCAGCACCGATTCCAGGCAGCGTTGAACAGCCGAGCCGAGGAGTTCGTCCAGCAAAAAGTTCACCAGGCTGTGTGGGGGAGGAGATTGATGAACTATCTATTCTGTAACTGACGACGCACTCACTTCTCATCGCTGACAAAGCGCCAGAGGTTCATTTGCAGGTAGTGGGCATCCACTTGGATCTGCTGCAGCCCGTACTTGCTGAATGTCCTCAGACGCACGCACTCCAGCAGCGTCTGCAAGGGTTTCATTGATTAAACGCTGCAAATCACGACAGGAGCACTCACTTTAAGGCCAATCTTGATGATGCCCATCACAATGGAAGCCTTGGTAAACTCCACCGATGTGAAGATGTCCACTCGCTCCGAGAACAGCCGATGTATGTTCGACACATAGTTGGACTCCAGCTGCGAGGGCGTGTAGTTGGACCAATTGGAGCGATACTGCGGCTTCGAGGCTGTGAAGTTGCTGAAGTAGGTCTTGCGGCTGGAGTCGCTGCTGGCCGTTGTGCGAAAGCCTGTGGGATTTCCCGTTCCCTCGTACAGACTGGCCACCACCGTCTCGATGCTGCCCAGCTCCTCCACCACTCGCTTCATCACCGCCCGCACGGAACGCGGCTCGAGGCAGTTGAGCCAGTCGCGAGTCTCGACGCTCTTGCGCAGCATCTGGGAGATGTTTGCGCCTTGGAGGCGAACGTAGGCGTCAAGGAGGGCCTGGGCCGTCTCGCGCATCTCCGCACAGATCTCAGTCTCGTGTGTGAGGGTCGCACTGTTCTCCGAGTCGATTTCATAGAGGTCATCTACCAGAGCAATCTGCAAAACGGAGACGAGATTAGGAATCCAGGAATCGCTTCTGGGATGCTTACCAGTATGTGGACACCTTGCTGCTCCAGTTCCAGGCAGGTCTTGGACAGCACTAGGAGCAGATTCGGCGGACTGGAGCTGGAAGCATCGCCAAAGCTGCACATCACCTTGCAGATGTGGCGCAGGAAGCCTATGAGAAGGTTCTCCCGAATGCCCTCCACACAGAGGGCGCCCTTGTGCTCGGCCTTGATGTTGAAGGACCAATCGGTGCGCAGAAAGATAAGCAAGTCCTGGAGCACACCCTTGATCTTCTCCACCATGGCAACGTACAGGTTGCTGATCAGATCCGACAGGTTCAGCCCGGTGGCCACATCACTCTTTGCCGACACCAAAGAAAGACGCACAGCACTCAGGCTATCGGCGAAGTGATCCTTCAGGTTCTTGGCGTGGGCGTCACACAGCTGGTGGGCGGCACCAATTATGATGTCCACCGTATTGCGTTGCACCGCCAGGCCTCGGCAGATGTTGCGCATGGCCTGAAGACGGCGATGCAGGCGGTCCAAGGCACGCAGCATGACCTGCGTGTCGCCATAGCCAATGTCCGACTCGACGCGGTCCTGAACTAGCGTCAGATACTTGTCGATGTTCTGGTTGAGGAAGATATTGAGCTCGAGCAGAGCATTCTCCTGGAAGTCGTCGCTGTGGGGGAGCGCAGATGATTAGGTTCGGAGCAGTGAAAATTTGAGGCCCTGACAGTTTACCGTTCATTCTCGTAGTGCTTGGCCACGAACATGTCAAAGTAGGAGGTCACCACGAGGGCCAGGTCATTGAGGAAGCCATCGATGCCCATGTCCACGAACTCTAGCATATCGCGCTCCGTTTGGTCCTGCAGCATGACTATCTGTTCGTGCAGCCGCTTGCCGGCACAGGTGAGCATCTCGCTGGCCAGGTCCGACGTTTTCTCGTCCAGCTGCAGGAGCAGTTCCCCGATCTCCGTCAGCGACTGGGCCGTATTGCCGGCCCGCTGAAAGTCCTGGCGCAGCGTCTCCTTCAGATCCGCCATGATGGCATCGCAGTCCTTTTGGATGCCATCGAAGGAGGGCTGTCTGCCGTATTGGGCAAACACCTTCTGAGCGTGCAGGTAGTCCTGCACCGCCTGGGCGTAGTTCTGCTCCTCGATCAGGCCCTTCAGCTTGGCTGGCAGTGTGGAGAGGAACTGGAGACGCTTCAGCAGCGAGTGTTTCTCGGAGAGGCGGCACAGCTGGGAGCGAGTGCCCTGCAGCGTGCCCGTGATCTGTTCGCTAAACGTGGTGATTGACTGCATCTTTGTCATCAGAAGATTCACGTCCGACTCCATCTGCTTGAAGTCATCCTTCATTTTTCGTATCGTGTCCGTCGCTGAGATGAACTTGTTGTAGTTCTCATACACCAGCGTCTGCATGTCCGAGTGCAGGGTCTGGGTGTCCTTCACAACAGCCGCCTCCGTGTCCATGATTTGTCTCAGCGAACAGTCCTAAAAGAAGGTATTGTAGGGGTTGGACCTGTTCGCCAGCCAGATTGCTCACCTTCAGGAGTCTCTCCAGATATTTTTCCGCATCGAAACTGGAGCTGTCCATGTCAAATGGACTGGCATTGCTTTCACCCATTGTGCAGCGGCAAAAAATAAATACAATTAAATATCATAAAAGGGCAATCCGGCGATAAAACGAGACTTAACCCACTTAACACCCCTATATTTAAAAAGTTGAGCACCCTTTGTTAAACCGCGGAAAATAATACTGTTTGTAGAGGCTCCTTGTAGCTTCATCCTTCTCCTTACTTAAAAAACAAAAATGACCACCCACATCTGTCACATGGAATGCTTAAAATATGTTAAAGCTACATACATTTCGTGGAAATATTAAATACCCCGCTGGTCGACAATGGGATAACGTTCTATATTATTGATTGAATTCGTATTCCATGATTTTGATATTCAGTTTAATATTACCAGCTAGTAAGCCCTTTCAGCCCTAAACAAATAATTTTATCCATTTGATCAATAAATTTTATACAAGAGTGACTAGTTTTTAGAACTCCTGTTTATGGGATTGTTTGTTTTTCTACCTGTTCATGCTAATGTATATTATAATTAATATCAAAAGTCCAGTGTTGGCTAGTGTTCCGTTCTTGTGATAAGCTGATTGCATGTTATCGGCGCGTGAATTCAATTGAATTTAAATTTAAATTTCAATTACTTTTAATATTAAAACAATTTATTTACATTGTTAACATAGATTATTTGCAACTAGCTTGTTCAAAAATTGTTATTCAATTATTCAATTTCAGTAAAACGAAGGTTCTCTTGGGAAATCGGTAATCAAATTAGGTGGCTCGGGAGATCTAGACTAGCACTTCACCCTATTCAAATCAAATAATATTGTGTATGTGCATACATATGTATGTACGTGTCGCTTGAGCACAGTTCGATTCCAATCTCTCTGAACGTTCAGTGTGAGCCTGCAGTTTAAGTTTTCTAAAGCAGCTGTAAATATTTTAATTTCACAATTCTACTGATAAGAACAGACAAACGTATTTCAAAGCTTGAACAACATGGACATTTCGCTACTGTCTGCTCTGACACTGATGCTGGCTGTCTGGGCCGTGGCTGTGGCTGGGGGTGGGTAATTTACGTCTACGTCGGATAATAATTATAATTAATGAACAAACTTGCAGATTGTGTGACAGATCCAGTGACAATGCTGTGCATATTGGATCCCAATCAGGGCTAATAACCATATCCCCCTGTGTCTATCTTGAATAAAATGGAAACGTGGATCCTCATTGTTTTTATTGTTTTACCCTGTACTCCAAAACTAAAGGGTATATTAGAGTGGTCTAGATGTAGTATGTAATAGCCAAAACGAATCGTTTATTCTTGATCAGCAATAGCCGAATTGCTTCAGCAACTACAGAGATTTCAGTGATATCATACTGAAACCAAAAATGTTAACACACTCCCTGCCGCCCCAAAAAAAAAAAACAAAATCTGTGGCACATTTGACTAATGAAACTCTCAAAGGTTTTGATAGTTTTTCGGTGTTTTATGGTCTCCATTGAATTTGTTTTTTTTGTTCAATATATTTAACACCACTCGCAGATAAGCATAGCCCGAAGAGAATGTTGTCTCGATGGCTCTTGATGCTGAAAGCTGAAACGTGGAAGCCCCTAAGGATTTTTGTTCTCTTTCTTTTCTTTTTGTTGCTTAGGGAGGTCTAGTCTGTTGTATGTACATATGTATGTATGTTTGAGTGTGGCAAATCACATTAGACATTCCATGGCCCTGGCCAGGAGTTGGGCATATGCGTCCTTGGGCCACTTGTAAGAGGCGCCACAGACAGATTGGTATACTGTGCCCTATCTAAGAGCATATACATTATACATTATTATGGAATTCAGTATACGTTTAAGTCAGTGAGAAACAATAGATATGTATAGCTGTCAGAGGTTTCCGAATTTTATTATTATTTTCGGATCAATCCATCTGCAAGGGTATCCCAGGCTCTGCTTAACCAAGGTAGGTAGCCTTACTTGCTTGTTTCATTGACTTTCTCTTTTTTTATATGTTGGCGGGGGAAGAAGGTCTCTGGTCGCTGGCGGCTATGTCAAGTTGAATGAACATGGACAAGTTTTGCCACTTCCATTCCTGGCTGGCGGGCAGACAGGCGGTGCGGAGAAAGTTTCTGTGCTCTATCTCGCATCAGAGTTGCGGAGCCGTTCCTACCCCCGCGTCATGTACCTTTTGCGGCTGCTTTTGGGCTCATTTCAAATACATTAACATTTTGACCTTTCGGAAAAATAAAGTTGGAGCACAGGCTCTCGGTCCCGGTCCCATCTGGTCCGGAATTTAATTTCAAGTTGTGCTGGGCAGATTGAGCAAGTCACACGCTGCTCGCCTCCACCAGGTTCTTCCGCTTCGGAGAACGCCACTGCATGCCTGCAGGCCCAAGGATACCCTAATCCAAACACACGTGTAGCGGGAACTTTGCTTTCATCCAACTGAAAATTGAATTTACGTAAGACGGGAGAAAGTCACAAAAAAGTAGAATACGTAAATTACACACGACCAGGGGATGGCGGATGGGCTTACGGACAGGCTTGAAACGTCGAACGTGTCAAGGTCAAGTTACCATTGTCCACGTCGTCCTCGTCACCTGTCCCTTTCCCTTTTCAGTTCACTGTGCGCGACAGGAATAGCTTGCCCCATGCGCCTCCTCCTCCTCCGCCTCCTCCAACACATCTCTTTGTGCAGTTTTGAAGTGCGCCAAGTCGTTAAATTAATTTCAGTGCACTCGGAAGACAGGAGCACCGTAAACTAGAGCACAGCCAGCCCAGCAGTGCTCATTTTAAACGGATTATGTGCACGGCATTGGGTGGACGAGGGCTCCCGGCTGGTGCATGCAGCATGGTGGCAAGGTGGCAAGCTGCTGCTTTTGGCTGTCAGGGATTACTGGCGAGTGGCCGTCAAGTGAGGCTGCGTGAGTGGACAGCAAATGAAAGGCAAACAAGTGGAGAGCCATAACACACATAACTTTAAGCCAAGTTGGGTCAAAGGGGAGGAGGCAGGTTTTTCGGCAAAGTGCCGGCTCAAACGGAGAACAGAAACGTAAGTGGCACTTGCATGATTGGTAGGCATTTTACTCACTTTACTCGTACGATTGTTCCAGATCCGAGTAGCATACCATTAACACTTTAAGCAAGACCGATTTTTCATCCGAATTGCTGACAGCAGTAGGCAAATGGATCCTGTTCAATGTGATGGAAAATTCTTGCTCCAGAGTTCCTACAAATAATAACAAGCTCAGTCATTCGTGGTTTTATCGTATATAAAACTTTTTATGGAGCACTTTAAATTCGGCGATAATATTGTCAAGTGTCGACAGTTGCCAAAGCAAAATGCAATTTCAGTGCATTTGCAACATAAAAAAAATGCAGAGCATTTATGTACATGTACTCTCGTATATGTGTATGTAGCTATACCCGTAGTATTCCCCGCTGAACATTGGTTTGGGGCATGCCATAAATCTGCACGCAAAAAGCTTCCGGCCTTTCAGACCAAATTCCTGACGCTTTTGCTCCTGCTGCTAACTCTCCCCCCTCCTGCCAATCACGGAGTTGTGCTGCCTGTGTGTGTTGTGGCTGCCAGCCGCCAGGGGGTGCTTTAATAAAGCCAAAGTGCTGGCCGCAGGTGTTTTCGCGGGACGGAGGAGAGCGTGCGGATAGGCGGGTAACGATGCAAATGCAGCTCAAAGAAGCCAGTGGCAGAGCACTTGCTGGATGCCACATCCTTTGGCCGTGTCAACTGATGGACAGCTGCAACTCAGAGTGGCTTTTACAGCCCACCCACCCTTGTGCATCCCAAATGTAAAATGTAAAATGAGGCTGCCATCCCCTATACACATCCCCATCCCCCATCCATTGCTTGCTGTCTGTTGGCGTTGGCGTTGTCAATTTTTTATTGCCCTTTGGCAGCTGTATCTTTGGGCTGCTGTTCCTTTGAGGTTACCGGGTCACGTGCCACTCTCGACCTGCCCCGACCGACACTTCCAGCGACAAAATCAGCGCTCTGCTCTGCCCTCCTGGCCAGCAATTGAATTCAAATGAAGCCAGGCCAAGCGCGGATCGGATCCCTCAAGAACAAATGCGATGCCATAAATCAAGCACAAAAATTGACATTAATTTCGCCCCGAGAGAGAAAAAGCACCAAGTGAAATGTGTGTAGGTGGGCCCCACCACACACCTATAGAGGGAGAGAGCTGAAAGTCTCCCGACTACGTGCTGTGGACTTTGGGGGATTCTTTGGAGAAATTCGTGTAAAATTTTGAACATTTTGGTTTGATTTGGTGAAATACAAGAGCTATAATACGAGTAGTATGCTACGATACAAACACTTTCATAATATTCTCACGAATTTCCATCTTTTCCATGTACCAATCAAATTTGTGCGCGTTTCCAACCACAAGCCGGAGAATTTCCACCAATTTTGATTGGTGATTCAACCTTAGTTTGAGGTTTAGTTCGCAGATTAGTAAATAATAACATGCAAAATTCGACAATGTATATTGAAATTAAAGTTACCCCCCAAATTGGACTTCAATGAGTTTATTACAATTTGTGGTTTTGCCATCAATCGAAACCGCAGACAAACAACAACTGAAAAACGCAATTCCCAGCTGGAAAATTAAGAGTTTATGGTCCAATAATCAGCATATTTGTGGCTGAATTTAGAACAGACAGCGGTGATTAAGTTCATTTTCCGGTTCGATAAAAGTATGGGAATCTGTCAGCCAGCCAGCCCTGAATTGTTGACAGAAATAGCCCAGACAGGCAACTGAAATTGATGGCCTTTTGTGCGTCATGCATGCGTTTCTCATTTGTGCATATGACAGGTCCTAAATATCTCGCTTCCCATTTCACTCTCTTCACGTGCTTTTCGTTTTTATAGCACTCTTTTCAGCGTATTTATTTCTTGTTTAGTGTTGAAGTTTACTGGGCATCTAGGGACTAAAACTGGCTTACAATTTTAATCCTCTTACGCGGCCATAGAAATTGCAGTTTCTTTGACTTTTCTGCAAAAAGTTACCCTCTCTTTGTGTGCAAATGGATTGAGATTTTTGGTGTCCAGCTTCAAAGTGTAATGCTGATGCAACCAAAGGCCGCCGCTTGCGCACACATGTCCATACCCAAACAGCTAACAGAAGGGACTGGTATGGACATAGGGATGGCGAACGGAGAGCAGGAACAAGGGAGGTATACGCACATACACGGCAACCACCATTTCACATGAAATCAACAGTTTACCTGCACGGTGCAACTTGGCCCTGGGCTTGGGGTTGGGTCTAGGGATTTTCTGGCTAAATGAAAATCCCCACCGAAACTGACAACAAATACAGCTGATGATGATAGTGGTGTAGGTATATAGTGCTTTTTGGGAATGGGCAGACACGGGGGCAATTACTCATGGAAATATTGGTAGTTTTAGTCTAGCGGCAGAGGAGACATCGGGGCATTGAGAATAACCGTTGCTGTGTTTCCCCCATCCCATCTTGTTGATTCTGCACTCCGTTTGTGAAAATCAAAATTCCTATTGTTGTTGTTGCTGCTGTTGATTTTGGCCAGGGAGGCCCAAAGGGAGCTGTTAAAGTGGGGGAGCAGAATGTAACGGAACACAGAGAAATTGTGAATATCAATGGCCATACCCTCGGACATCATTTGCATCCCTTCCGCTAGTGGAACGGTGTTCTTCCCAGTTTTGGACATGTCAGAAATGCGAAACAAAGCTACAAATGTGCACGAAATCGAATATGATTGCTGCTGCTGCTGCCGCTGCTGCCATGCTTATGGCATTCTCGAGGCCACATGACAATCAGCATGCATGATTTAACAGTACGCCAACCAAACAGGCAAAATGCTTTAGCCGACACAAATTTCTGCTGTTCCAACAACCAGATCCGCTGAAGTATGTGCGCTGCATACAGAGGTATTGTTGGAGTGCCATGTTCTCCTTTCGATACATTTGGTCTACGATTTTAATGAGTAATTCCAGTCTTTCGCTCAGTGTAAGGAATGCTGGCGAAAGTGGAAAACGGAATGGGCTTCCTTTGCTCCGTTAGCATATGTACATATGTATGTGCCTACGGTATGCAGCTTCTATGTGAATCTGAATGCAGCATAAAAGGCACCGCAGCACACTATAACCGACTGGGGACTTGAACTGGTTTTTGGGGCATATTTTGCGCCAATTTCCATACAAATCTCTCTCTGACACACACAAACACACAGACTAACACATGTACTATATGGATGCTAGCCCAGAAGCACACATACTGCTGCAATCCCAGTGTCGATCGCAAAAGGGAAGTAGTTTGCATAGTTTGCAGCCCCACAGCCAACCCGCACAACAGCATGGTATGAATGAAACAAAACAAAACAAAACAGTCGAAGAAACGTAAAAGGAAAACAAAAGCCCACATGCGATAAAGAACAACAAAGGGCAAGCGGGGGAGGCGAGTGCCAGGCGCAGAGCAGTAGCAGAGGCAACAGCAACAGCAACAGCAGCAGCAGCAGCAGCGACGACAGCAGAGACTGAGACAGAGAACTAGAAGAAAATTAAAAAGTAAACACAAAAATTCACGTGCTTTGAATGCAAGAGCAGCAGCCACAACAGAGGAATGGAAAGGTAAGAGCAATCAACGAAGCTGCGCAGTGCCCAAAGAAAGAGAGTGTGTGAGAAAGAGAGAGGGAGCGAGAGAGTAGGAGAGTAGGAGAGTGACAATGAAACACTGCGCATGTTCCAGCAGCAACAACAACGAGCCAAAGCTCCATGGGCTCCATGGGAATTTCTCACATGCAAGTTTTGTTTACCGTTATGATGACGTATACGCGTGTAGGAGATGCAGGGCATATCCGACTGAGTGTAACAGAATGGGAGAAAGATAATAAGTTGAATAAGAACATGATAAATTTATATTTTAATTAATTAATTCATATTTAATGTCTTATGCAGATATTGACAATGGATTCCATATCTCAATTCACTTTCCCTGCTCTACTCTATGCCCTACCATTTGAAGGTACTTGCCATGGTGGTTGTGGCCCATTATATGTGCGGTGTCTCTTTCACCCAACACCCAGCTGCCTCCTGAAGTTTACTTTGCATTGAGATGAGAGTTTTACTTGCTCTTCCCTGCCACCACTCTTCCTTGGAGCGTAGCTTTTAGCGTGCGTATTATTTATGCGTAGACATTCTGGCGCCGCTTGTTGTTTGAATAGCGAGAGAAAGCAGGAGACAGGAGACTGCGAGAGCAGTGAGCGCGGCAAAGTGCAAAAGAGCTTGCAGCAGAGAGCGGCACCCGAGAGTAACTCTCATAAATAACCGTGTGGCGGCTCTTTGCTGCCTTCAGAAGTGTGTGAAGTGTCGTGGCGAGCAGACCTACGCTGCGCCAGTCGGGGATTCTTTGCTGCCAAGCTATTTTCTTATATCTATATTACATTGCTACACACACACACACACATATACAAACACGAACATATACGCGCACATACACACCTGTACACAAATCGAGCGGGCAAAAATGTTGGAGCACGCGCGCGCAAAACTCGAACTAAAGCAAAACGTATCGAAAAGTGCTTCAAAATCCACGTGAAACGGTGCATAGGCAATCGGGCGAAAAATAATACGAATATAGAAATCAAATCGAATCGAATCAAATTGAGGCGAAATTAAAGCGGAGTTTTCCTTGGAGGAAAAATCAATGCCGCTAAACGTAAACTGACGACGCACAGATACACACGCACACCAAACGCACACGTGTGTCTCCAATACAAACACTACGACACACACGCACACGCCACACGGCCAAACGTCGAAAGCCTAACAAAGTGAAAGTAACGGAATTAGCTACCCAAAAACGAAGTGCATAGGAAGCTTAGGAAGGGGTGTGGAGGAGCAACAGAAATCCTCGTAAATTTTGCATTGCCTACTTTGCAGCTGAGAGAAACACATTCCTTGACTGAATTCCACTGCTGCTGCTGATGGCCTGGTCACTCTGCCAGGTACACTGTGCTAGTGAGTGAGTGAGTGAGTGAGTGAGTGAGACTGTGTGTGCGTGCTTCTTTGGCTGTTTCCAAAAGTCGGTCATACTAGAAACAAAAACAACAACAGCGAACGAGGAACTAAAGAGAAGCAGAGCAAAGAAAGGCATGCAACAAAAACAGGCGGCAACAGCAGCCGCCGACGATGCAGCACCAGCAGCAGCAGCAGGAGCAGTAGCGGCAACCTGAGCAAAGATAAACACGCAAAACAAAGCAAAGTGGGTCAGTGTGCGAGGCAGCCCATTCAAGGGGTAGCAGGTGGTGAAAGAGCAGGAGGAGGAGAAGGAGGAGGAGAAGGAGGAGGTGCAAACACCAGCAGCATCTTGAGCAGGCATCGACATGTGCCGATGGACATGTGTGCAACAGCAGTACGCGGCAGCATCAAAGGCAGAACAAAGGGTAAGTGTACCGGAAATGCTTGCAAAGGCCATGCCGAAAAATCTGATACGCATATTTAACCTTGAAAAATGGTTTCGTTCAAATGAAAGGTTCGTGGGGGGGCAGAGTGTAAGGAGAATGGGTTGAAAGCGCAGCGAAATCGTTCACGAATAACGTGAGAAGAGGTCTGGGGAGGAAGAATGTGTAGGTGGAATCAACCTGCTCAAGGATACGCGCTGCGAGTCGAAAAGTAAACGTCGAAATGCCGAAAGGAGCAATAACAAAAGGACAGCAGAGCAGAAAAGACACAGAGAGAGAGGGAGTGAGGGAGAGATGAGGGGAGAGCGCGAAATGCCAAATGGAATAGCAGTAAAATAAAATATCCCTGTGAATGTTGCGCTTTCAGGCGCCCCCTCCCTCCACCAGAAACCTCGCCAACCCTTGGCCATGCCCCTGGGCTCCCTAATGCTCATCCATATCCACACAGAAGGTCTCCGCTCTCCCCCTTTCACTAGGTGTATGTGTGTGTGTGTGCCGCCTGATGTGGGTCATAAATGTTACTCCATTTTTATGGCCAACTTGCACACGATGACGATGTCGGAGAAGGCGGAGATGGAGACGCAGGCTATGGCAATGGCGATGGCGATGGCAACGGCGATGGCGACGGCAGAGAAAAGAGCAAAATGAAAGAGCTGCCAGCATAACCAAATGGTAAGGATATGCCAGGAATAAGCCAAAATGGAGAGTAAGCCAAAAGAGTGGGCTGAGAGCAGCAGCAGTCAGCGGAAGGGACATTAAATGGCCAACGCCATCGCCATCGCCAGTTGCACGTTTTCACGACTAGCGAGGGCTGCCAGAGCCACAGTCCTAGCCGGAGCCTCGATGCCATTGCGAAAGCAAATAAATAAATATAAATATTCATTAGGGTCTCTCATTCAGATTTCCCCAACTTCCAAGTCGTGGAAAATGGGAATTAATGATATTAACAGCTATTACCAGATTTCCCCCCCCCATTTCTCTAGCCTGCTCCCGCTATCCCAACGGTTAGAGCGACCCTCTAGCCTGCTCTTGCTGACCGTTTTTCGACTCGATTTCAACTCGAATTTCTTTGTTCGCATTTCATTTTCCTTTTGTTTCTGCTCTTTCGTAGACTCTCTTGCTTCCTCTCTCTCTCTCTCTCTCCCTACGTTTTATTCTTCGCATGTTGCATGAAGCGGACCCAACTTTCGATAAGATTTTCTGACCACTAATGCAATTGTGGTGCTAGTTTCGGAGCTGTGGCACTCTCACAGTTGCTGCAGCTCAAATGGCAATTAGATGGATCTGGGATGACATTTGCCACACAAGGAGCTTTACGTAATGGCAGTGCGGGAGAGGAGAGGCAACCTCGCAACTGTCGTCCCATTTGTGGTTGTAGGCATCGCGTGACCTTGAGCGCCGTTTGCGAGGGAGCGAGTGAGCGAGCGAGCGAGTTGGACGATGGTCTGGGTGTGTGTGGGTGGCATGCAAATCCATTGAAAGCGCACGGCTGCAGTTCAAGGCTATTTTTACGTTACGCAAGCAACTGCAAACGTGTGAGGGCTGTGTCTCTGTGTATGTGCGTGTGTGTGTGTGTATATGTTTGCATATCCTTGAGCGTCAGTTTGGTGCCGGGAATGTTGTCTGCGTCGCGTTGACATTTTCAACAGTGACGAAAAACTGTCAACAGCCGAAACTCTGTTCCCTTTGTTCATACGTGTCTCTATATATCTATGTCTATTTTCTATATACCCAAAGGTATATGTCCCAGTCAGGCTTATGCAATCTTCCTACTCTCCTTCCTTCATTCTCTGTCGCCTAATTAAGTAGTCGTACGTCTCCATTCAAGCGCTACGGTTGTGCAACTGCAAACATCAGCAGTTGGAAGCTGTTTTGTTCAGACTGTACTCTCAATTGTACGAATCATTCGTTCATCAATCGATTGACAGAATGCAATTGAGGGGAGTCATTATTTATTTATTCTTTCCTTCAAGCCAACTCTCACTTTTTGACTGTACGTTTAAAGGTTTGATGAAACATGTTTTGTTCTTGTTTGGGAATAAAACAAAGTCAAAGTGGCTCCAACTCGCATTAATCTGTTGAATTTTAAATCTGTTTTATGGTGACTGTACTTTACTGGGTTCTCTTGACATGGCTTTGGTGTTGCCTTGAGCCTGAATGCAATCGGGGAGTGGTTCTATTCTATTTGATATCCTGTCAGAGAGACATGCTTTGTATGCTGCAAAAGGGATACCGAATATCCAGCTGACTGCAATATATCATTGTGTATGCACCCCTTGCCACATAGCTCCCCCCTAGCTCGCACGTACACACACAGCAGTAACCTTTCTCTTGCCTTTGCCTCAATGTCACTGCATATTTGAGGGGGTTTGTTTAATCGAAACGCGGCCAAACTCCATCCATGTGTGTATTGGGAAAGTGGGTATGGGGGGATGGGCGCCTTCGGGAGTGGCCTGGCATGTGTGCGTGTCAGCCAGGCCGTGGCAGGTGGCAGGTGGCTGGTGGCTGGTAGCTTGGCCTTGGAACCTAACATGACATAAATGCGGAGCCGTTACGCATTATTAGCGTTATCCAGAGTTGATCGCTGTTAAAGCCACGCCCAGAAACTAATGGATCGCTGGTTCTTCCAGCATTACCCAACTAGAAGAGTTGCATTCCCCCTAACCCCAGTTGTACGGTGCACTGTGCTCATTAGAAGCGTCTCAGTGGCATGTCTGCTGTCTGGAGTTGAAGTTGCACTCTACACAGGGATACCCATACACACCGTGCCCGTGGGGTACATTAATTTCATTAAAAAGTTGCGCATCGGAAAACTTGTTAATTAACGCCTTTGGCTGGCAAAGAGCGAAAACCGAAAATAGAACCAAAAAATAACGAAGCAGTGGCGGAAAAATGCATTAACGGAGGAGTCCCAACCCAAAACTAAATTGGAAACAAACTTTGCTCTGGCTAATGATCCTGATCACCACGCCTCTGGCCTCCTTTAATAGTGTACATTGTGGAGCCATTCATATTGCATTAAGTTACCGAAATTATTGAACAAATAGAAAGACATTCATCAATATTTAATGCGGTGCGGTGCGGTCCGGTGGTCCGCACGCAATTCCCATTTTGCCGAGAACTTGTTTGTCAATGCTTACATTTGAGTTAAGGTCAGGCCTGGGGGGGCATGCCTCTGGCTGGAGCGGATACTGGAAGTTGGGAGCTTGGGTAAATCTAATTTGGGACTTGACCCGTGATTACCGCGGCTATAAATGCAAATCAACGGAGTCGCGGAAACTGCACAAATGCCGCAATATAAACTTGGCCACAAAACAAATCACAAAACGGAAAGGAACGGAATGGAGGGGAGGGGAGTGGAGCAAGGAATGGATGGAACCACAAGGCGGAGGCAACTAAAAACAATTTGCCGTAATCAAAACGAAATCAGCAAAGCGCAAGCCGCAGCGTCGCAGCGTCGCAACGTCGGAAAGTGGAGCACTACACTGGCCGGAAATATAGCGGGGACACTGAATCTCAAATGCTCTGCTGAGACATACCAAAAATATACCAGAAATATAACAGTAATATACTAGAAATTAATCAGAAATATGCGATATACATGGGGATATAAGATGGGGAAACACTAGAAATCTAGCTATGAATGAGCCCAGCAGAACCAATGATTATGATAATTTTTTATATCAGATTCCCTAACTTCCAATGGAGTTCACCAATAGATCTTATTAGAGATATTGCCCCCGTACCAGTTAGAGTATCCCAACTGCAGCAGTTGCTGAAGCGTAAGCAAGGAAAGGGTGCTGGGCTGCGGTGGCAATGTGTCCGGGGCCAAAGTCAACAAAGAGCCACAGTTTCAGCCACCATCATCCATTCAGGTGCTCCGTCATTATATATTTGTTGTCACTTGAAAAATATTTGTGCTTTGCGCTTGATTTATGCTCGGGCAACAATTGAGTGAAGATAACATAGGAGGGAGGGGTGGCCAGGGGTATGGATGGAGATAGTCTGGTGAATCGAGCAGCGGAAGGCAAACAATGCGGATTGTTCGAGGCGAACTGTTGCAGGATTCGAATATGGAGTGGGAACGGGAGCACGAGCAGGAGCAAAAGCAGGAGCTGGACTTTGGCCGTGCGGAATATGCAAATATCGGGTGAACAAAAAGATAATGTCATCGACTGGCACAGCCACGAACAGGCACTTTAGTCGCCATCTAGTGCAGGTGTATGGTGTATCTCCCATTGACAATGGGCTATACACGACGGGGAAAGCGGGTGGCGGAGGGTGGCAGGCGGTGGGGATGGTGGATGCTTCCTGTCGTATTGTCACAGGCAGTCGAATGTTTGCATAACGCAACAAAAGCGAAAAACAAAAGCTGCCACAAAAAGGGTTCAACATAAATATATATTTTTAGCCCCTTGAACAGTGAGGTTGAGCCCTCAACGGAAATCGCATTGATGGGAATCAAAGAAAGGGACAAAAAGAGGCAGAGATAGAACGAGGGGAGGCATAGACACACACACACACAGAGAATCGAATAAAGGGACACAAAGAGAGAGTGAGAGAGACAAAGGCGAAAAGGGAAAAGGTTTTTGTACCGAATTAACAATTCAATTTAAACCGACTGACTAAAGAGGGGTCTACGGGTTGAGACTGACGGAAGGGAAAACTGCTTGACATCTATTTCCCACAGGGAAGGGGGGTGATGGGAGGAACTACGAAGTGGGGTTTCTCTGACACAGAAAAAGGCGGCCCTGGGATGGGTTCAAAGGTTGACGCACACACTTGACAATGACAATCGTTTGTTTTGCTGTCAATTCTGGTTGCTGTCGCTTCTGTCTTTGTCTCTGTCTCTGTGTCTCTGGCACTCTTTCTGACGCCAGTTTGTGTTGCTGTTTCTGTTTCTGTTTCCGCCATTGTTGTTGCCTCTGCTGACGCTGTTGACTTTGGACACACAATTTAATAAAGGCTTAAAGTTGTTGCAA